GGTGGGGTAGAATAATGTTGAAAATTGGAATTGGAATTTGTCTGATAATAATTGAAAATTAAAGGAGAAGGTTAGGTCTGGGTTTTGCATGTGAGAGGAGTGTTGGAGTTGGGTTGCATGTCCCATCCTTATTCCATCCATAGGTTTACATTTCTTGGAAGTTTCCCATTCCACCTTTCATTTTTCTTATTTTGGACTTTTCTTCTTCTTCATTTTCATCTCTTTTCCTTATTTTTTGAGCTTTCATCACATTCAATTTTTGTTTCATTAATTACAAAGGGGAGAAAAGAGAGAGCATGCAAAGGGGATTAAATATTATGGTGTAGGAAGTACTTTTTCCGTTTTTATTTACTTGTAAACATCACTTTGGCATGTATTTTAAGGAAGGAATTAGACCCATAAACTAGCAAATTAATTAAAATAATTTTACCATCCATGAGAAGATTTTGTTAAGAGATAAATGGGATAATATGACTACCACAACTAACTTGAAATGGAGAAAGTCATTTTAATTTACATGACCATTACTGTATAATAAAGTTTTTCCTACTCCATATGATATAGTAAGACTAAATAATACTTTTTCATGCAACTTTTTATTAGGTTCTATTTATTGATTTGTGTCTTTTAGTAGTCTGCATAATAAGGTCCATTAAAAGTGTGATATGTGGTTGTGACAACATGATCAGATAATTGGATATGGATGGGCTGGGATGCTTAGAAGGTATCTGGTTGACCCAGTTGAAATGTGGTGGCCAGCAAACCTTGCCCAAGTCTCCTTTTTTAGGTTCGTTCTTCAACCTTTCTACTCTTTATTTCTACATACATTGCAATGTGCTTGCCAAATTGCAAAGGTCACAAATTCTTCTTTTCGCCTTTCCTTTGGAAAGTTGAGGGCAAGTCGTCTGGCTAATTGATTGATACGTATGTATGGCCATGTATTTGTCTAAACAAAGAGCATCAATTCCACTGGATAGACTACTACTTGCCTATCCTTCTCATTGACAGATGTTACGGATTGGAACTACTAGTGCTTCAATATTCCGATCTTACAACCAACTTTTATTAGGAATACTATTCGTATTATGATATCATGCTTTCTTGGGACTAATATATCAACTCCTTAGCTTTCAATAATTTAGGAGCATGGAAATGACAAATGCTCTTGCCCTGTATTTTTGTTTAACAAAAATGTTCTTTTTTGGTGAAAAATGCTTTAACATAACCTTACCTTAACCATTAAAAGGTTAATTGACTTTTGGAAGTAAGAATTTGCTGCTAGAAAAGAAAAGAAAGTCATTTCATAACTTATATTCCAGTAATGAATTCATGCTGAAGAGCTACGGAGTAAGAATTTGTCACCCTCAGTTTTGTTAGCTTGTCATCGAGTATATTCGTTCTTTGTGCACATACAATATGAATGAAGGAAAATGTATTGCAAGATTCTCTTAGGCTAACTCATGTAATAGAAAGTAATCAGTGATCAGTAATATTCGTGTTCTAAGGATGTCGCAGTAACTAACTAGGAATACCAACTAAAAATTCCCCTAACTTAAAAGGTCTTGACATAAACCATGGAGTAAAAAGTGTTTATGCATTTATGTAATTATGTAATTACTTGTGTAATCTTATTCTTCTAATACTAAAGACATCTGATTATGATTAACTCGATGCTGCAGAGCACTTCATGAGAAGGAGCACAAACAAAAGGGGCTTACCCGAATGCAATTTTTCCTCATCTTCTTTGCAGCAAGCTTTGCCTATTATGCTCTCCCTGGTTATCTGTTTCCAATTTTGACCTTTTTTTCCTGGGTGTGTTGGGCCTGGCCTCGAAGCATTACCGCCCAACAGGTTGGATCAGGTTACAACGGGCTAGGTGTGGGTGCCTTCACCCTGGATTGGGCGGGCATCTCTGCCTACCATGGCAGCCCTCTGGTGGCACCTTGGTCTTCCATTGTCAATGTTGGAATAGGATTTATCATGTTCATATACATAATAATCCCGCTGTGTTACTGGAAGTTTGATACGTTTGATTCCAGGAAATTTCCAATATTTTCCAACAAGCTTTTTCGGTCTAATGGACTGAAGTATGATACCACCAAGATTCTCACCCCACAACGTGACCTCAACGTTGCAGCTTATAATAGTTACGGAAAATTATACCTTAGTCCTCTCTTTGCCCTTTCAATCGGGTCTGGATTTGCAAGATTCACTGCCACTCTTACACATGTTGCTCTATTCCATGGAAGGTATGCTGCTACAGTCCATGCAAATTACCAGATTACATTGATCCAGTAGTCAGTGCGGTTGTAAGTCAAGTCTTTACTCATGTCATTCGGATGTGCTGTGCAGGGACATCTGGAAGCAGAGCAGGTCCGCAATGCAAAATGCTAAGAAGGACGTACATGCTAAGCTGATGAGCAAATACAAACAAGTGCCTGAATGGTGGTTCCTGATCTTGTTAGTTTTGAGTGCGGCATTTTCAATCCTGATGTCGTTTATATGGAAAGATGATGTGCAGCTGCCCTGGTGGGGGATGCTTTTTGCATTTGCATTGGCTTGGGTTGTGACTCTTCCCATTGGTGTCATTCAAGCGACCACGAACCAGGTACTACCTAGTACCTACATGCTCTAAGACTGCGGATTTTACTTTATCTGGTTAATTTATTTAAAGATTTTCTGGATTTTAAACTCGTCTTCTGGATCAATGCAGCAACCTGGGTACGACATAATAGCACAGTTCATATTTGGGTATGTCTACCCTGGAAAACCCATAGCCAATCTGCTTTTCAAGATATACGGGAGAATCAGCACCGTTCATGCTCTGGCCTTCCTGTCTGATCTAAAACTTGGGCACTACATGAAAATCCCACCAAGGTCCATGTACGCAGCTCAGGTTTGTACATATCGTCAGCTGTCTATTAGAACATTCAGTAAATGAAGATTAGGTTTGATTGCTTGAAACTCACCTATTTTTTCCATTCTTTTCTTAACAACTCACAGCTTGTTGGAACACTAGTTGCCGGTGTAGTCAACCTTGCAGTAGCATGGTGGATGTTGGCCTCCATTGACAACATATGCGATGTGGAGTCTCTAAATCCTAACAGCCCGTGGACATGCCCCAAATTCCGAGTCACCTTTGATGCTTCTGTTATCTGGGGCTTAATTGGACCTCAAAGGCTCTTTGGACCAGGAGGGTTGTACAGGAACTTGGTGTGGCTATTCCTTATCGGAGCAGTATTGCCTGTTCCAGTCTGGATACTCCACAAGATCTTCCCTGAAAACAAATGGATCCCACTCATCAATATACCAGTCATATCATATGGGTTTGCAGGGATGCCACCAGCAACGCCTACAAACATAGCTAGTTGGCTGGTCACTGGTACCATATTCAACTACTTTGTATTCAAGTACAGAAAAGAATGGTGGAAGAGGTACAACTATGTTCTATCAGCAGCCTTGGATGCCGGGACAGCCTTCATGGCTGTTTTGATATTCTTCGCTCTCCAAAACGAGAACAAGAATCTGAAATGGTGGGGAACAGAAATAGATCATTGCCCCTTGGCGTCGTGCCCAACTGCCCCAGGGATTATAGTGGAAGGATGTCCAGTCCATTAACTACCATGAAAGCCTTGCAAATATGCCATCATCAAGTTAGTGTAGGGAGTATTATTATTGTTTTTGAAAATGTTACATTTATAGTAGGATGAGGAATAGTTTTTGAGAAAGAACCCCTCAATAAACACATTGATAGAATTATTATCCTATTGAACCTATTTAGTGTGGTTGAAATTGTTTTGTGATCAATTTTGGTTAAGCTGATCAATTTTGGTTAAGTAACACAGTTTCTGATCCTTTTTGCTTGTGCATAAGCGTCTGATTGATAATACACTCTGAGGTTTAGAAACAGGGCTGGCATATCCTAACTGTTTTGGCCTAAGTGTGAGGTAAGGCGAATCGGTTTAACATGACCCTGCAAATGTGGGATCAATTGAACCAAAACAGAAGATGCAAGCAAGAGTGTATTTGCGCTAGCATTGAAGCTCATGTTTTAATTAGTAGTAAGTTGTACAGTAGATAACAGATAGAGTGTTTCAGACTTCGGTATATATGGCAGTTGATGAATTTCTTTCAAATGTATGCCTATTTTGAAAAGTAAAAAATCTATCCCTTTTCTGTTGTTCAATTCAGTCCCTTTTTGGGCAGGTAAAAATAGTACCAGTCTTTCAAAATCCTAATTTGAGCGCTGCAAAATCATAAGACCTTGATTCAAATTAATAATATGAAAATAAGAGAAGATAGAATCAAGTCGCGCTAAAGTTAAAGACTTGAAGATGAGAGGGCAGACATGTGTAAGCTTAAAACAAAGCTTTAGATTCCTGACAATTGCATAAAGGGCAAGTATTGATCACAAATATATTTCACTACTCGTAGTAAAGCTGAGTATTGGATATGGAAATGGAGATATTTACATGATTTTTACAAGGATGTGGAATTTACGTGTCAAGAATAAGAAAGTTTCTAATTTCTCCCACAATTCCACAAATCTGTTTTTCTTTAACGGTGAGAAATTCTGGAGAAGAATTCTATGTATATGGGCAGAGGCATTCGTTACTCCGAGATGGCAGACTCCTCCATGCAATTTCTATAACCTCATCACTCATCGCAGTCACCAGACAACGCAAAAAGTGGATGAATATGAATGTAATTCCGACCAAACAGCTGATTGCTGATACATTCGTTGACTGTTGCTATTAAACTAATAGCTGCTTCATCTAGCAGAAATAACAACAGCTTGAAAGTTGGTGCGTTAGGGCAGAAAATTGCGATCTACTTCCAGACTTGCAAAATGCAATTTATGGTAGATATAGCAATTGCTACAACTTAATGTTGCCCCCATTAGATGTAAAAATCACGCCACTAGTAGAGCTTGGTGTGGTTATCAGATGGAAAAATTGCCAATAAAAGTTATAAAATGCCAGATAAAGCAAGCTAAAGACTAAAGAGGACAAAGAGGTTGTCAAATTGAAGCAAACATAAAATTTGGTACTTGAGCGCCTTCTATAGTCTACTTCATCCAGCAACGTTACAGTACATTGTTCTGATCTATCCTCACCATTACTACTAAACCCAACCCTCTATAGATTTAAATAATATCTCAAAAACACATCCCTACAGAGATTTGTAGAGTACAACAGTCACATACTTGGACTTGAACCTATGTGTAGAGCCAAGTGCGACAACTGATGGACCGCTCTTTCCCTTCTGCATGTAAAGATGATTAAGAACCACATGTTGAGGTCTTGAAAGAGAAGGCGGCGGCGCCTCTGTGCACAGAGAAGGTACATTAAGCAAGGTCATGTTAAGGTGAGGAGGAACAAGTGGTGGTTCCTTGGCAAAATCATCTTGGTTAAGTTCTGTATTATTATAGCTACTATCTGGAGATTGTGGTGGCTCAAATCCCGATATGCTCTCTGTGTCTTCTGGGACATAATCCTGCATTTGATCAGAATCCATTGGTGAATCACAAAATCAAGCAGAAACGAGCCCCTTAACTTTAGTCAACCTAGAATGAACAAAGACCCTTCTAAATCAAAATAGCAGTATGAGATGGAGAAAGTAGAATAGTGTCATCAAGAATAAGACAATTTCTCGAAATCTAAGCGACAGAAGAAATTTGCAATAATATGTTCTGAAGGTGTAGTTAGGAATAGCATCTTAAATTGAGATCTATACTGTTAGTTGGTGGCATCCCTTTCAGTCCAATTGTGCATTTATCCTCATCAATCCAAGCTATTTGATTTTTTTAACTCAGTAGGTGCTTCATAAGCCATAAATAAAGTTTATTCGGCTTACAACCAATTTGGACTTGCAGAGTGCAGGCTCCTTGTTCCATAGTCCATTCTAATAAAAGATTCCTTAATTATATCCCAAAAGAAAAGATATATTCTTCATGACTGAAGTCACATCACTAGTGACCTTCTTAGCTGTGATGACAGAGCACATCCCGTGGCACTAACAGAAGCATCACAGAAAATAATATCCAATTTGAACAACAAGCAGATAGATAGATTGAAAGAGAGAATCTCATACAACATTTGATAAAGATGGCCTTTGGCTTTCGAAACCACATAGACTAGGCAAAACTTTATATGACAATATAATTCAATGGAGCTAGCTGCTCTTATGAGATCTAACCTTTTTTTTTTTTTTTTTTTTTTGTCATTTAAATGTAGCAAGGGAATAATAACTAACCTTTTTTTTGTCATTTTTTTTTTTTGGTCATATAGAGCTCCAGGTTCCTGCTCTAAGTGTATATCACAAATAGTAAGGGAAAAGTTAACAGGATAAGAAACTAGTTTTCAAAAAGGATTCTGCCAATTCATCATAGATAACTAAATGAGCACCATACAAGAACAGTGAGTTGAAATAGGTTAAAATAGAGGGGAAATATATAGGCACCAATCCACAATTCCACACCAGTGACCACTCTGACCAGACGCCAACCCACAAGTAAAATTTCATACAGAAGATCAAATGACGTTGGCAATAACACCTCAGTAGCTTATCATATTACACTTGAATTTCATCTCAGAACAATTAACATTGCATTCCCATGATGATAATTTTAAAAAAAATAGTGTACAGAACAAAAAATTTTACCTGCAAATCCAAAACATTGTAATAATTTCCAGTCTCGTCCTGGATCCACGGTAAATCGGATGAATAAGTCCACACACCATCAACAATAAACCTATATTGGTAAACTCCTGATGGCAGCACTTTCATGAGAGTAAAGTCCTTTCCTGATCTCTGTAGTGGTTTTCTGTACACAAAAGATATTTAGTTAAGATTTGACAAGAACTACTCTAATCACACACCACAATTGTCATACAAATTAATAAGATCCAAGGAGAATTTTGAACCTTGTCTTCCAGTTATCCCATGAACCCTCCACAGCAACTTCCTTGCCACCACAACTCCAAGTGAACATAGTAGGAATTCCTTGCTCAAAACTCATTTCTTCATCAGACGGCGATGAATGTAACCATGTTGGATTCAGGATATGCAGGTCATCGGGTTTTTGTATTGGAGCCACGGGAGGCTATGCAAAATCACATAAACAAAACAACCATAAGTACAGAGAAAAGGCTATTCTATAACCCTGAAAAATGTACCCACACAGAAAAAGGGAAAAAAAAAAAAAATACCCCTACACAATTAACTGAACTAAGCAAGAAAGCCTAAAGAACTTAAAAAGGACATACGAAATCACAAACTACAATGTTGCTTAACCATGATTTATTAACTACAATCTCAAATAAGCTTCAATGAAATAGTTAAATGCACCAAGTTTCAATTTTTTTGCATCTTTATTGAAATTTGGTTGATAAAAAGCATGATTCATCAACAGCATTACAAACAATTGTACCATAATTCATGAAGACGCCAATAAAACATCAGTTACAGTAGAAGCATAGTACAAGTAGAATTTCAATGAAAAATAGGCAAAAAAAAAAAATAAACATCTGAAAACAACAAATCTAACCCCAGATAATTATGAGCAACAAATCAATAGAAAACCCAAGAAAAAAATCAATTAATCAGGAAAAAAAAGAGAGAGAGAGAAGGGGAATTAAAAACCTGAGGAGCAAATTTAAGAGGAGATTGAACAGTTCTAGGACTTTGAGGAGGAGAGTGAGTCATGAGAGCTGGAGAAGGTGAAACCCCACAAACAGTTTCTTCTTCTTCCTCTTCTTCTTCTTCAATTACTAACCCTGATTCAGATTGACTCCCTTCTTCTCTACCATTAACATTCCCCATTAATTTATATATTTTGGAGTTTTATACCTAGAAATCTAATCAATTAAATTCCCCTCAAAAAAATTAATAAAAAAATATATATAACTTGTTGGTTATCAAAAAGATAAATCCAAAAGATTAGAAGATAAATTCAAAAAAAAAAATTATATATATAAAAAAAAAAAAAAAAAAAGTTAAAAAGAAAGTGGTGAGAGTAGTGAGTTAAGAGAAGGAAGAAGAAGGTGAAGGTGAAGATGAAGGTGGGTGGGGATCATACTAATCACTCTCTTTTTCCATTAAAATCATCATTAAATAGTAATCATCAGGATGAATGAATGGATGGATGGATGGATTGAGGAGAGAGAAAAACAAAAAAAAGGAGTGAGATGTGGAGAGAATATTATTAGGGGTAAAACAAAATGAAAAAAAAATGTGAATTTGTTCATATCATAAAATCATAATCTTATGAAAGAAGGCTGAATGTCATTTTCTGATCCTTGGTTGGTTGTTTTTTCAGGAGAGGAGAACCAACCCACCTAAACCCTTTTAACCTTTTTGCTTTTTTTCTTCTCTCCTTGGGAAATCTTAATTAGATTATAATTTTATAATTGTTAGTATTAAAAATGATTAATCGGGTCCGAATCAAAGATTGGAAATTTGAAAATAAGGCATTGAGATTTAATTGATTATGCTACAATCGGAATCGTCTGGATCGATGAATTGGGAAGAGATCGATAAATAATATCATTCTCTTATTACATGATGACGATCTAAAATTTTGTAGATCTTGCTATAAGATTATCATATTCTTTATAAAAAGAGTATAAGATCTATCATAGTTTGTGGAATGCAAAAATGTCAATCTTGCAATCTCATGATTGCTAATTCTATTTCAAGGTATGAAACTTTACTCTTTGGAGTATAATTTCTTACACATGAAATATAAAAAATATTAAATAGTTGTACAACATATTTTAAAGTGTCCAGTTACTTCGTTTGACTAATTGTTTACATTAACTGTCTTGACTGCTTGATCATAATTAGTTGTTTACATTGGTTGTTTTGACTAGCTAATTGTAATTAGTTGTTTAAAAATACTGATAGATGTTTACATTAGCCAGTCGTAATTAACTGTTTATGTAAAAGTGTTTGCCAAATAATTGTTAGCTATTAGCTGTTTTAGTGTATATTATTAATTGTTTTAGTGTATAAACAAAAAAAAAAAAAAAAAAGAGCTACTCCATAAAAACTCTTCTTTTTTTAAAATGAGTCTTTTGGACCCAAAAAACTCTCTCAAACATCTCTTTACCAATCATCTCAAATACAAAGTAACTTTTTAAAATGCTCAAATAACTCTTTTTACTCAAAAAAAAAAAGAAAAAGAAAAGGAAACAAACACTCCATTTGCATTCTACTATAAAACTAGTCTCATGACCCGTGTGGTTGTTTATAGGTATAATATATAATTATTTGTTTTGTAATTCGTTTTTTAAATTCATGGGAAAAATGAATAGTTTATAAAAGAAGAGAAGAGTTAAGAATTGAATAAACTTGTAAGAGATATTAAGTTGGGAGGAAATGAACTAAACAACATTAATATGTGTAATGAATTAAGGCTATTTTATTAATGTCGGAAAGGAGATGAAAAGGATAGGTTAAATAATGTGATATTGTTCAACAAATAAAAAATCCTAGCATATCGCTCCTCTCTCCATTCTCTAAAACCCTAGCCTTCATAGTTGAATTTTGGAGGGGCTTTCATCGGTTTTTTTGGGTAGAAAGCCCTAATCGTTGTTTTTGTGTGCTTTTTCTCTTATTTTAGATTTATAATAACTCTTTCTCTTCTAGAAGAAATATTTTTCCCCTCGAAAGACAAGATTTTTCTTTTCTTTAGGAAGATTTGCTCATTCAAAAGACGGGTTTTTCTTCTCTCTTTTGAGGGAGGATTTGATTTTTCATTTTTTTGTTACATGGATTGTTATAGAATTGTTTCATGAGTAAAAATTTTGTTCGGGATCGAAAAAGATGTTAATCTTTTGATTATAACATAACAAATCAAACGAAAATTTTCTTCATGGCTACAATAGATCTATAGACCTCCTCACCGAGCGAAGAAGACTGTAAATCACAACTATATAAAATAAGGTATGAAGAATGTACGATTTGCCCCAACGGTTGCAACTATTATGAATTGTTAGATTTAAATCTCTTTTTAAATGTTGTATGACTGTTATTTATGAATCAATTTTATTCCAAAAAAATGACATTATTCAATAAAGAAATGTGACATATATGGCATGATGTTTTTTGTTTTTTATATACTTCCTCGTTTTTTTTATATTGGCACCATAATATAGAAATGTCGCAATACTTGCAACACGAGGAAGTCCTAATACGTCACCGTTAGACACAAGGAAAATTGCATAACAACCTATTATACTACTAAAAGTTTTAATAGTACTACTGAGATCTTAAGTACTACTAAGAGTGTTTTTTATACTACTGGAATCATATATAGTACTACTGAGAATGTTCAGTAGTAATATATTATCTCTCAGTAGTACTCTCAAAATGTCATTATTTACAAAATTGCCATTGTTATGTATTTGCTTGTGCATAACTGTGAGGCCCTATGAAGCGCTTCTTGAAACACACTATATTTGAAAAGTTTTTTTTGGTTAAAGTAGTATTATTAATCGTACTTATGCTTTGTTTGGATAGCAAAGAAGGAAAGAAAGGAAGGGGATGGGAAAAGGAGGAAGGGAAGGAAAGGGAAAAGAAAGGGAGGGGGAGGTGAGCTCCATTTTCCCTCCAAATCTCTCCAATTTTGGAGGGATTATGTTTATTAAAGAGAGAGGAAAAATGGATCCCTCCCTTTCCTTCCCCCAATCCTTTACCCAAACAAGAGAATTTGTCCCCCTTCCTTTCTCTTCTCTTATTTTTCTTTCATTTCTTTCTATCCAAATAAAGTGTTAATGCTCATGACCCACTTAATTATATTCCAAACAATCTTCTAACTCCGTAAAAAAGTGTGGGTTGTAAGTATCAAAAAACGGAGGAATTACTTGGAAAACTTTTGGTTACCACTCGGAAAAGAGAGGGTACAAAAAGAAAAAGATATGATTGGGCTAAAACATTTTGAACGGACTAATTAAGTAATTGGGTTTACAGTCGAGGCTTTTGCAAAAAACTTGCAATCTCCTCTTTGGCAAAGCTTTTCTCCGAGGCATTAACGCAAACACTTTACCAGGCAAATCATTCAAACACAATCTCAGAGGTATTCAACCCGCATTTTCGTACATCTTGCTTTACTCTTCTGCATTTATAATTCTTAATTTACTTTTAGTGTAAGATTTAGCATTTAATAACTTAGGTTTGTAGTTCATCAGCAAGTCAATTCATCCTCAATTGTTTGCTTTCGTAATCTTTGATGTAAATTCCAAGTATTTATCAAACTATTATAAGAATGGGTTTACACTTACCCATTCATCAAGTTCAAGTTTTAAGCTTTTGGTAATTATTTTCTTGTTTTTACTTTTTGCTTTGTTAATCAATTTGATGATTTTTGCCATGTTTATATAACCTAATTGGTTAGTATGGAGTACTAAAGACTTAGCCTTGCAACTATAACTCCACCATTTTGTTATATTCTATAATTAATATTTATTAATTTTTTCATGTATGTGTAGAATTGTTGAGTTGCACAGTGACAGACTGACAGTAAGTGAAAAAATGAAAATTTGTCATTGTTGAATAACTTAAGTTAATACTACAACAAAGCTGAAGGCCTTTTTTTTTGGAATTGGGTGAGGTCGACTGCGTGAACCAAGTATCTAGTTTTATGCTCAAAATGCCTTAGATTTTTTTGGGAAAGGCTATCTCTTTATAATTACAATCTATGTTACATGGACTCGGGTAACCATGTCAGACACGGCACACGGGTTCATGTCCAAGCGTTTGACTCGACTATTTTGTGAAAAAATTCCATAATTTTGAACTTAAAGTAAAGTGTCCAAGAGTCGAGGGTCCGACTTGGATACTTGAAGTGAAATGAAGAGTCCATGTAACATGTGACCCCTTTAATTAGTAAAACTGCTTGTAACTTGTATGTCTGCATCCAGAAAGATTTACAGCAAAAACAAATGATTTCTGGTTGTTATTTAACCTTATACTCTATTTTTTGGGGAATTTTTGTTATGCAGAAGATGCAGAGTATAAAGAGCTCTATTCTGAGGCATTTTAGACTTCAGGCCTCCTTCAGGACTTGGTCATTTACTGAAAATGCAAGTCTACTGAACATATTCAGCAGGCAACTGTGTACTACAACGGCTAACAGCGATGACCAGATAATGGATCGAGTGATTGGCTTGGTGAAGAAGTTCAATAAAACTGACACCACCAAGGTAAGAATCAATGTTATTAATGTTGGACTTGGTCTTTGCCCTTTGCACTTTCTATTGGAGTAATTATTAGTTTTAATTTCCTCGGATACATGAACAACTTACATTACTCAACCTACCTGTCAACAACAGGTAACTGAAACAACTAATTTCCAAAAGGATCTATGCTTGGACAGCTTGGAGAGAGTGGAGCTTGTTATGGCCTTCGAGCAGGAGTTCTCCATTGAGATTCCTGAGGAAGAAGCTGATAAGCTTACTTGCTGTGCTGATGTTGCCAAGTATATTTTAGATGAAACTAAGCAAAGTGTTGCCCAGAATTCCTGATTTTTACCAGGTATTGATGATGGAATCTTATAGTCATACTAGATGCTATCTAATATTCTAATTTGTATGGACTTGGGAAGTTCTCTGTCATTCTCTAAAAGACTAAAACTCATACGAAGTATATGCAAAGTTTTTTTTTTACTCAAGCACTAAATTGAGTTTCTTTCCTGAGCAATCAGTGTAAGTTTTGTTCAAATGTGTGGCCCTTTTTAGTTTGTTGCATGTATTCTATTCCATTATTCATATAAAGTGGCTTCCGGTATGTGTTAATACAAGGCTCTCATGACAATCCACTATGATATGTAGGACACATCACCAAAAGTTACAACAAAATTACATCTATATACATGTAATATACATAGTGGTATACAAAGTATATATATTTTTTTTTCATCTTTTTTTCCCTTCAAAAATTGTAGTTGTACTTTGCTGTTTTTTCACTTCAAGTAACTGAGTTGGTGGTATTGAAACCTGGGACTCATTGCTGTGACTGCAGCGCCATCCGAGTGAGCCATTATACCTTTTCTCTCAATCATCAGTATTGTACTTTGAAATGCCACCTACCATGACATCCCCTGATCATCCTTTTGTCCTTTCATGCAAGCTTCTGATTTCTCAGGCATTATATTCAGAAGTTCTATCTTTCCTGTTGTATATGTACGGATTCCATTTCCGACAGAAGAGAGCTTGATTTCTTTGTTTTTTACAGTTGATAGATGGCAAGGGGAATCCTTAGGTAGCTCTAGAATCTTAACTGAGCACTTCTTGTCCAAGTTTGGGATCCCATGAAGATTGGAGGGAAGTTCAATCATGAACTCTCCATATTCGTCGGTAACAGTTTTAGCCCAACTAGGACTTTTGACTTTCTTGTTGGCTTGACATTCTGCTCCAACCAAGGCCCCTATGAAAAATGAAAATAGAATTGTACACTTTCTTAATAAACTGTTAAAATTATAAAAGATTACAATAAGGATTTTTACACAACTAACGTTTATTAAGTCATAATTAAGCTTAATTGGAACGGGTGAATATTAAACAAGAGTTGTTTTAACATACAATCACTATTATGTCTAAGGCCTGGAAGGATACCCCTGAAAATATAGCAGGGGCCTCCTACATGAAGGTGTTCAACTCTGTTTTCAGTTTAGCACCGCGTAATTAATTGCTAAAACTAATGCTGTTAGTTTCACTTGCCTTTGCTAAAGTATCTGGTACATATGGTCTCAATAATTAATCCTCTTTTCCCATTGTAATATATGAGCCTTTGCACCTCTACGACCCCGAAAGGAATTTCTAATTGAATTATGTTTCTCATTGATTATATAAATATCAAATTTAAGCATATTCATGAGTATAATAAAAAAAATTTAGACTTAATATATGAGTAAGCACTTCAAGGTAGAATGTCACACCATGCGAAAATCCTCTCTCAACAAAGTATGAAGCTTTATTCCTAAGTATTCCCAGCAAAAAGAATCTTCATCTATTGATTTCCCAATCAAAATAAAAACTTGAAAACAATACAAGTATTTTATATTGGGTCATCTTCTTTTTGCTTTCTCTTTGAGAAGGGGGTTATGGGGGGATATATTCAAAGTTATATCATCAAAGAGAAAAATTCAATGGATCATTTTGCAGACTAGTAATTAGATAATGCATGTTTTTCGCATCCTGGTTATATCTTGACTCTGCTAGATCAAAGCTATAACAGAGATGCATGAGACAAGTAGGCACTAAAAGCTATAAGGATTAAGGTTTACCTGAGATAGGCTGTGGGGGAAGCTTAAGTTGGTGGTGGTTGCCATGTTTAGCTGCTAAACAAGCTTCATAGCAGATAACAGAGCCTGTGATTAGAACGGTGGAGAGTTTTTCCTCGCCATACCCAGCCATTTGCACCATCTCATCTCTGCTCGACATCTCGAGTACCCACTTCATCTCAAGACTTTCATCATCATCTTCTTCTTCTTTGATTTCATTACTGGCGACAGGGCGGCATTGAGAGTTGACTATCACCGAAGCAAATATCAGAGCTGCAAGCAACATCACAAGGATGTTGTGATCGCAGTTGGCGCAAAACTTGGTCATCTTCTTTGTGGTTGTGTTAGTTTTCTGTTTGTTCGTCTAAGTTTCCTCGGTCTGAAATACGAGTAGTGTTTTTTTTAGACGCAAAGGAATCAACAATTTAGTTGGCTGCATCCCTTTGCTTTTATAAGGCAATTTGTGATAATGCCCTTGGAGTTTATTAGTATTTTCACAATTTTGACCATAGTTAATTACGTATTAGAAAATTCTAGGAACATACAATGACAATCTTATATTTTCCCCTTGTAATAAAATAATGTATGCTGTCATTTTCTAGTGTCACAATCTTGTAAAACTGAAGTTTGTAAGGAAACCAAGCAAAGATTGATGATCTTCTATCACAATCAAGTAAATTAATGCCAAGGCACCAAGCTTCTACCTTGATATTTACCTTAATATATTATTTTCTTTCAAATTATTATGACTTTATGAGAATTGAAATGACATTTGCCTCAACATAAAAGTTTAAGAACAATAAGTGTTTCATACAATTGTTGTTAAGTGCTTCAACTTTTTTTAAAAATCGACAAAGTATCCATGTGATTTTATTTTTGTGCCGAGAAAATTGGTTAATTGACGAGGTGTAATTCATAAGTTTGTGGTTAAACCTAATCGATCCTGATTGTCGTTTTCAATCAATATGTCATATTATTTCGTACCTCTTTGTTTGATAAGGTTGGATTATTTGTTTTACTAAAATTATATGGATCTTTCATGTTGATTTTACTTTGTTTCCTTAATCTTTAATCTCATTGTAACAATTTATGCATCACAAGAAACATAGAGCATGAAATAATCATGAAATTGAAAGAGGAGTAGAATAGTCTTTGTATCTAAAAACATAAGAAGTGTCAAAGGTTGAAGAGGAAAGAGTAACGGAAGGTTTGGTAGCCAACTCCTTTTCCATACGTAATAGAGTTATTTATACAACCATTTGGAGCAGTTTTATCTTAATGAGAACCACGTTTGTCTGTTTGTTTCTTAATCAAACTCAGAAAATAAGGTGTTGCCACGTAGACGTATCTTTATCAATTTATCTAATGAATAAAAAAAAAAAGTAGCCAATTTGTGTTCCAAAAATTCAAGCCTGTCCCAACGATCTTGTATCTAAAATGTATTGGTCATTAATTTCTCTCCTACCCAACTAAATTTACTGCTGATTAGTTAGCTTAGCAGCCCTTCTAACACAAATAAAGTGGAGGCATTTATTCATACCTTAATAATAATAGTCATATCTTAAAATTCAAACCTTTTATTTTTTATGTACTATACTTTATGATTGAAGTAGTTAAACCATATAATAGTACGTGTTATCTAAAATCTCATGATATATATATTTACAAGTAAAATATCAAACTTACTTGGTGTAGTTAGTTGATGATTTATCTTATCATTTTGAGGTTAAATAGTCGTATGCCTCGTAATCCTCTCTATTATAGTACTTAATAATTGCCAATTTTTTTTTCCTTACTTTTAAGTATATGACCAATATAAACACTAGAATAAAAAAATCGTAAAGATTAAGAACGGATCAAGGTTTCTAAAATAAAAAAAAATCTCATGACGTATCCACAAAGCACAATACACCTATTCACGTCAACTGGGTGGAAGAGGGAGAGGAACAAATCAAAGCAAATTAGTAGTGGAAGGGTTGCGGTCTTCACGTACAACGTATCATTCCTTTGACCTTTTCTGTTACTGGAATGAAATGGAATGGGTTAGACTTGGTGTTCTGATCATTCGCTCTTGACTTTTTGGACTACTCTTAACTACATTTTGTCTTTTTATTTTTTATTTTATTTATTTATATTCATTCATACCTAAACTACGTAGTCAGGGGCGGAACTATGTAGGTGCATGGTGAGTCACGTGACTCACCAGCAAAAAAAATATCAAAGAGACCTCCTATTATAGATAGGCGGTCTCTTTGCTGCTACTGCTGCCTAATGCTGTCAGATTTTTTAAAATAACAAAGAGACCGGTTATTTAGATAACAGGTCTCTTTTCTGCTGACATTGTATATGAATATTTGTTGCGCTACTTTCTTTTTCATTAAAGAGACTTGTTATATTTAATTTTTTTTTAAGTTATCTCACTATTTTAATAACAGGTCTCTTAAGTTATCTCACTATTTTATTTTTTTATTTTATTTTTTGTGTACTGCGTATAATTTGTTAATAATTCTTGTACAATAAAGTTAATTTAATGTAATAATTTTATAGTACTATTTATTTGTAACATGTTATTTATTTGGAGTACGTACTCTCGACTTGTAAGATTGAATTTTTAAGTACTATTGTAGTATGGATTTTTATGTCCTATTTTTGGATTGAAATCATTTTGGTGAAATATATTTTTTATATATACATATATATAATTTTTGAATTGAAACAAGTGATTAGTTATTGATGGTGACTCACCAGTTCGAAAATCCTAGATCCGCCACTGTACGTAGTATATAACTTCTGAAAAGTATGCTACGTACCAATTACATATGCCAAATATTTTTTGTTTTCTCACTTATTTAGTCGACCAACTTTTTCTTCAGGGCTATTAAATAATTCTTATACAATTTTCACAAATATTGTGATGTTTTTGTTTGTTGGATACAATTTTTATAAAATGACATCTTAACACCATTTGTCAAGTTATGATATTATATGAATAACAAAGGTTAAGGATTCCCATATTATAGCCATTTCTCCCAAAACTTAGATGCTATGCTGATATCCACCGACGAGTATACTCCATACTGTAATAGGCTTTGTAGATGAGATAAATGGATATGGATTCAATAAAAAGGAAATTGGATGTAAGAAATTTTGGTCAACTATAAACCTTGTTGTTTAACTTTAGAATACGTCAACTAATCTAGCTTTTTTTTTTTTTTTGGTAAATAAGTAATTTAATTACCAAAGGAAAACAGTTACAACTTACAATAATAGCTAAGCTGTAACCCCCAAATTACACAAGCCTTACGGCAACCACACAACCCAAACAACCCCAAACTGTAAAAGGCCACCTTCTAGGAAAGGTTCCTAAAACAAAAAGGGGCTAAAAAAACCCAACTTGGACTCAAGTAAAGAGGCACCTTCTAGGAAGGGTACTCTTTACAAGGACTAGGACAACAACCTTTACAACTAACACAGGGCAGAAAAGGAAAACTACTAGCAAACAGCAAAACAACAAAACAAACATGCTAATAGCTTCCTAACCATAAACAGCAACATAAGCGCAGACTAGAGAGCAACCAAGCAAACAGTAGCCCTCAACAAAAGACCACCCAGAAGAACAGGAATCCAGCAACAGACAGCACCACAAGCACAGACCATAAAGGCAAGAGCAACAAAGCTGCGAAGAGCAGACACAAAACAGCCCACAACACAGCAAGCAAGCAACACAACAACCAGCAGCACAACAAACATCAACCCAGGACCACAGAAGCCCTGCAGCAAGAGGCAGCAACTATCATGGAGTAGCCCAAAGCCAGCAAAGCAGCACAACACCACAGCGAGCAACGAGCAGGTGACAGAAGCTCAAACAGCACCAAGACATCCTGAATTGACATAGAGCACCACCACCAGCTAAACAGCACAGCAGCACAACAAACAACAAGCAAGCCAAACGGGAGAAACCCTCAAAGCCAGAACAGGTCTGCTGAAAAACTAGCAAACAACAGCCCCCATCAGAACATATCCTAGCTTGAAACCATGCAGCCAGCAATAGACATGAGCAACAAAGCACCAAGACCAACACAAGTAGTCCACGGCACAACATCACAGCTACATAGTAGCGCAACACAACAAACCAACAACCCAGGAACATAACACAGACCTGCAGCAGGAGGCAATAACAACTAGCAGAACACACACCCTCAAAGAAGGTCTGAATTGATAGCAACAGAGCACAACAAATAGCACCAGCCCAGCAGAATAGCAATAGCATAAGCCAAAACTGTGGCAGCACCAGCAGCCAACATGCAGCAGGCAGGGAACAAAGACGGAATCCCAGCTGGAACACACAGAGAGACAGCAGGCTTAACACAAAAAACAACTGAGCCACTAAGAACTAGGCAACATCCTAGCAACCAGCAGGGAAGCACCAGAAAGCAGCAGCCCTTCAAACATCATAGCAAACCAGAAAAAGCAAACCAACCACCACAAGGAAACCCAGAGTAGCAACAAGAAAGGAGAAAACATAATCAAATCAGGAGATATTTCTTTGCATCATCTAAGCATCTACAAGCAACTCTAAAGACGATATTCTGAAACTCGGAATTAGCATCATTACAAGAGCCATTAAACATGATTGAGTTCCGTTGAATCCAAATGTTATAGACTGTTTCGGCAAAGAACATCAAGAATAAGTTCTTCCTCTCACCCACTATCCTACAATACCTCAAGACCCAATCAACCTCGAACTAAAACCTTTGGATAGGTTTACAAATATGAAACAAGTCAAGCACCTTCTACCAGATCTTACTAGAGTAAGCACATTCAAAGAAGAGGTGTTGGACATTCTCAGGCTCACGTAAGCAATACAGACAAATAGGGTCACAATTAATATTCCATGAAACCAACCTATCCTTAGTCAGAAGTCTATTCAAGATAGCCAACCACAAGATGAAAACACTCTTAGGGGAAGCTTTATTATCGCAAACAAGTCTCTTCCAACTCACTTTGGGACTTTGTTGTCTAATAGAGCTATAAATCTTCTTGATTTGGACTTTGCCATTTTGCTTCACAACATCCCAACCTCCACAATTCTCAATAACCTCTCTACATTTGAGGATCCTCTTTAGGACCCATGAGCATTTTTGAGGAAGAGAAGTAGCCTAAATATCTTTATTCCTGAAATAATAGATATGGACCTATCTCATCCAAAGATTATCAGCCTTGCTACAAATGTCCCACAAATTCTTACAAACCGCAGCAATGTTCTAATCCTCTAAAGCAAAAATATTCCACCCTCCACTTGCCTTAGGAAGACACAAATGTTTCCAAGACATAAGAGCTTTTTCTGTAGGATTAGACTTCTCGGACCACCAAAAGGACTGAAACCTAGCCTCAATCTCTTTTATGATTTTCTTGGGGAGAATAAAGATTTGAGACCAATAGGTTTTCATACCAAACAAACCACTCCGAATAAGCTGAAGCCGCCCGGCATAAGATAAGAACCTCACCGCCTAAAGGTTATTTTTGAAACCAAAGGCTTATACTGAGCCACAGAGAGGTTTTTAGAAGACAAGGGCACACCCAAATACCAGAAAGGAATACACCCAGCACTCATACCAAGAACTTGGAGAAAAAGGGCCTTATCATCATCAGAAATCCCACCAAAATAAGCCTCACTTTTATCCAAATTAGCAGAAAGACCAAAAGCACCAGAGAATTTTAGAAAAGCTTGCATCAAAAGATCAAGGGAAATCACATCACCTCTAGCAAACAATAAGAGGTCATCAGCAAACATAAGGTGCGTAAGCTTCAACTTTTCACATCTTGGGTGAAAATTGAAGTTAGGATTAGAGCTCAAATCATGAAGGTACCTAGACAAATATTCCATGCTAATAGCAAATAAGAAAGGAGACAGAGGATCAACTTGTCTCAAGCCCTTCTTAGCTTTAAATGGCTTCGAAGGAGCACCATTGATAAGGATAAAGAATGAAACCGTAGTGATGCAACCAAGAATCCACTTAATAAACAAGCTAGGGAAACCAAGCTCACAAAGCACAGCCTCAAGAAAACCCCACTCAACAGAATCATAAGCTTGTTTGAGGTCCACTTTAATCATGCACCTTGGAGAGATGAACTTGTGGGAGTATCCTTTTATTAGCTCAGTAGCCAAAAGGATATTATCACCAATATGCTTCCCAAGAATGAAACCAGCCTGGGCATCATCCACAACATCACCAATGACTCGCCCAAGCCTTGCAGTTATGACTTTAGACACAATTTTATAAAGAACAAAGCAACAAGCAATAGGTCTAAAATCTTTCACATAAGACGCATTATGAACTTTGGGCACTAGAGTAATAGTTGTGCAATTCCATTGAAGGGGCATCACACCAGTATCAAAGAGCTCAAGCACATCAGCATAAATATCAGACTTAATAAACTCCCAAGTATGCTTAAAAAATTTAGCATTAAACCCATCAATACTAGGAGCTTTATCATCAGATATACCCTTAAGAACCTGATCAATCTCATCATAAGAAACAGGATTAATCAGGAAAAGCTGAGAGGAGGAAGAAAGCTGCTTACCAGATCTCAAAGTAGTCAAATCAACACCAGGAAAAGATCAGAGCAAGAGCCAAGCAAAGACTTATAAAAGCCAAGGATCTCTTGCTTAATCTCGGAGGGAGTACGAAGAAGAACATGATTACCATTAAGCAGAGAGTAAATTCCATTCCTTGCTTGCCTATGCTTCATCACAGAGAAGAGATACTTAAAACTAGAGTCCCCAAGCCGAACCCAGTCAACTCTAGACTTTTGCTTCCAAATGCTCTCTTGAACATTCCTCCAATACTTGAGCTTTTGAATAGCCCCATCTTCCCGAATTGCTAGATTAGGGTCATTGAAATTCACAGCTAATTGGTTCTGAATATGACACAACTCATCAGAAGCTTGACCAATTTTCCCCTCAACATTCCCAAAGGATCTAGAATTCAACTCCTTGAGTTGAGCTTTAACCTGCTTAAGCTTCAGCCAAAATCTAACCATTTTACCACCCGACACTTGAACCTGCCAAGCATCATGAACATATCTTTGAAAATCAACATGAGTAAGCATACAATTCAAGAGTTGAAAAGGCTTTCCTTTCCCAAGATGAGAAGGAAAAACCTCATAAAGCAAAGGAGAGTGATCAGAAAGAGAAGGAGGAAGATAGATAGCCTCAACATTACCAAATTGCCCCAACCACTCTAGATTCACAAGCCCTCTATCAATTCTAGAATAGGTGCAGATACCAATATGAGACTTATTAAACCATGAATAAAAAGCACCCTTGCTCTTAATTTCAACCAAATTCACATCTTCAAGAAACCTGTGAAAGTCCTTAGTTTCATAATCTGTGACCGGGTTGCCATTAATCCTATCCTCATCATTCAACACAGAATTAAAGTCACCAGAGCAAAGCCAAGAAATAGAAATAGCCCCAAGCTTTGAAATCCAATCCCACATCGTCTTCCTATCATGTATAGAGTGCAAAACATAAACAACAGTACAAGCAATCTTCTTTTGAGAGTCAACAGAAGTGAGGATGCAATGAATAAATTGAGCATGAGATTGAACAATATCAACATAAATTTGATCCTCCCTCCAACCAATCCAAATCCTCCCCTTAAGGGAGAAAGACTAATTAGAGAACCAAGAAAACCCAAAGTGAATTTTCTTTTAGAGGGCTTTGCAATTTTTCTCTTTCACCTTTGTCTTAATCAAACCATCAACATCACAATTATTCCTAAAGATAAGTTGCTTGACATCAGCAACTTTAGTAGGGTCATTAAGACCCTCACATTCCAAATAGCAATGATCATTGAACCAAAGGGGCCCACCCCCGCTAGGATCAACCAAATTATCATTATCCTTCTCACTGAAACTCTGCATACCCTGACCACCACCCACATGATCAACTAAAGCAGAAAACTCTACGGTTGGTATTACTTTGAGATGCAGCTACTTCCTTTCCTTTCCTTCTCACTATATTCCAATCACCACCATTAGCTTGCTTGTTGGCATTCTGGCCAGTACCCACTGTAACCTTTGGGACCTAGGCTTTCTTCTGCTGAGGCTGAACCTGAGGTTGGGGCTTCTTCAGCACTTGCTGAGCATAGGACACATGCTTATCTTATTGCTCTACACAAATATGCCCAACCTTATGGCATTTCCTACAAAAAGGAGGTACCCAGTCATATTCAACAGTCAACTCCACTAACTCACCACCTGGGCTCTCAACCCAAACAGACTTAGCCAACCTCTTTGCCACATCAATTTCCAAAAGCAACCGGGCAAAGAAAACCCTCAACTGCCTCGCAGTACATTCATCAGAACAAATCGGAACACCAAGCAAACTCCCAATCCTACTCATGGTCTCCGTACCCCAGCAATTTAATGGCAAGGTAGGTGATCTCACCCACAAAGGAACAGTACGCAAGACCTCAGCACTAAAATCAAACTTTTCTGACCACTGCTTCACAATAATAGCTTTTCCATTATACATATGCGCGCCAATACACAAGATAGAATTTAAATCACCAGGAGAACAAAAATTGATAATAAAGTAACCATCATCATGCCAATAGACCTCAGGCTTAGTAATACTACTCCAATGTTCAGCAATAAATCTATGCATAGCAGAAATCGAAGGAGAAAATCCAACAACATATAAAACAGCAGCATTACACCATTTTTGTGTACCCTTAGCAATCTCCTCAATAGGTAAAATAGCTACGGGCTTACCTTCTTTTATCTGCGGTGATACGAAACTAAGAGCAGCACCCTTAGCATTTAATTTGCCCGAATATCCTCCACCTTGATTTCCATTTGCACCCCCTGGAGGATCATCAGCAGAAGGCAAAGCATTTGCACCATGAGCTGGCTGGGAACCAGCAACCGTACACACTGAAGGCACAACATCAACAAATGGCCCATCACAAGTTGGCTGGTGAACTACAACAGCAGGTGACGAAGAAACATCATCAAAGGAAGAGGGCAAAGCTGCACCACTGCCCAACACCGACGGAGCCTTCGCTTGAGGAGCCCTAATTGCTGAAACTCCAGCCTTCGAACCCATAGAACCAAAATGGAGAACAAGCATCGCGGCATCTCTCCTAGTCACCTTCCCAGCCGACGGGTGAACTAGCCGCGGCGCCAGCGTCACAAGTTCATCCTCTTCAGCAATCGCCTTTGGCTGAGAATAATTTCCAATTGAACTAGAGAACAGAGTTTCAAGAATTTCCTGAGATTGAAGCTGAGGAGCTGGAGTAGATTGTTGCTGCTGCTTTTTTTTTTGAGCCATGAGCCCAGATTCAGTGAAAGCCGACCATCGAAATCAGCACCATGCACGGAAAAAAGGCCGGATTTTGGAGATTCTCTCTCTAGCTTTCTCTCTCTAACAAAAGCCTAATGCATTTGACTTTCATTTACTAATCTAGCTTTAGATGAACTAAGACGATTTTTTGAATTAAAGCCGAAAGAAGAATATAAAATAATATGGTTTGTGTTACTAGGTAAATCTATGACATTATTTATAAACTATGATGTATTGTTAACTATAATAAGTTACCGTGATATTCAATAGATAAAGAGGTTCATTTTAACACTTCCATACGTATGAGAGTATAATATAGTCGTAGGAGTTGTCAAAGAAATGCTCCATAGGTCAAAGCACCAAGCCTAAAACAAATAATTAGTCTCTGCAAATTAAGCAAACCTGGTAGGCCTAATCATAGAAAATTGATTAGCAGCCATAATGATATGACCTTCGAACCTACAATAGTTTGTCCTTATTTATACTTATTGTATTATCATCTTATGAATCAAGTTGTAGTATTTAGTAGTAGAAATGAAACCGTTACGTTGGAAACCTATGTAGTATTCAACCTTTTCGAACATGTTCAACACACCTACAGGAGCCAATATTCACTATATGATGTTTAATCATGACCTTGAACTATGCTTCTACATTTTCATGCTGACTAGCTAATGTGTTCGGTTGTCATTTATAGAAGCCTGCATTATAAGCTTATGTATCATTTGGTAAGTACCGTAAGTTGTTACATTAGCATTCACCGACTAGTATACACTCCGTGTTATTATAATATAAACTCCGATGATACAAGTAATAAAGAAGTGTGCGGCGTTTTAGGTTATGTTATCGACTTGAGAAATATTTACTTCCTCCGTTAACAGTTATTTGCAACATTTATCTAAAAGGGGTGCTAACTATTATTTGCAACATTTCCAAGTCTTTCCATTTTTAGTAATTTTTTTAAATGAAATTACAAAAACACCCTTACTTAAAACTTTATAACATCAATTACATACTTAAAACATAATTGATTAAAAACTAATCTAATCTAATTAAACTTATTTTATATCATTCAATAATCATCAATCCTTCATCACCTCTTCATCTTCCCCATTATCTTTCTCTCTCCTCCATCATCTTCTTCCTCTTCCCTCATAATCTATTTTCTCCATCTTCATCCTCTTCAACATTAACTTTCTCTCTCCTCCTTCAACCACTTTTCATGAATTGAAAAAGAAAGACACTCAATTTCAGATATGGAGAAATGGTGGGTTTTGGATCTGGGTTTGTGGGTGGTGGGTTAGGCGGTTTCGGATTCGAAAGGTGGGTGGCTTAGGGTGGCGTCGGTGGTGGTTTTGGGTTCGAAAGGTGGTGGTTTTGGGTTCGTGGGGTGGTTTGTTGGGTATCTGTGGTGGTTTGGGTGGTGGTTTGAAAGGTGGTGGTTTTGGGTGCGTGGGGTGGTTCGTGGTGTGTGGTGGTTTGTTGGGTTTCGGTGGTGAAGGTTGGATTCGTGGTTGGGTTTTGGTGGTGTTTCGGGTTCTGAGGGTTGACGGGTTTGGTGGTTTTGGTGGTTGTCGGTGGTTTAGGTGGTGGTTTTGGTTTTGGTTTTGGGTTTTGGTGGTTGTGCTGGTGTTGTTTAATTGTTATATATATATATATATATATATATATATATAGGATTAATACTTAATTACATGCCCTTATATTTCAATAATCATGCTTTAAAAGTTTTGCATTGGCCTTCGCAAAAGGTACAATTGTTGCAAATAACCGTTAACGGAGGAAGTACATAAGACCACTTTTTCATTATAAGACCACTTCTATGAATGAGTTTCTCTGTTTCTATAAGCATGTGACCCTGTTATTGTTTGATTAGTTTCTCTCTTTCTTCTCTTTTAATTGTAAGTGTTCTTTTTCGAAAAGTTGTAATACAATAATAAGGCAAAGTATTACTTTATTTAGCTAATGATTCATATTTATCTCTCTCCTCACTACAATCCCTTTCTATCTCTCTCATCTCTTAAAAAGATACTAGATAAAAGCCCGTGCAATGCACGATTTTTCGTCTAAGGTTTTTAATTATTTGATTTATTGTATTTAATAATTTCAGACCAAATTACAAAAGTTTAATTTTAATTTTTTTTTTTTTACTGTAATTTCTTCAGTGAGCAGATGATTTGCTGCTCTTCTAGTTAGAGAAAGACTTAGACCTACCGGTAATAATACAACTTTATTCATTATAATTGAATTTATAAAATATAAATAAATTGTAAGTATGATATTTCATCTGTTACCTAAAATCTTTTATGTGAAAAGATAAATTTTTAATTTTTTAAATAATTTAAATCCTAAATCATTATTCATTGTTTATGTTAGCAAAAATAAAAATGATATAAATTAAATCTTTACATTTATATAAAGTAAATCAATATATTTACTAATAAATGAAAAATTGTTGCGAAATTGATCAAAAAAATTGTAATTGTATAAAATCGATCTATGCATTGGAATTTTTTCATCATCTCCAATAATAACGAAACCCATCCATATAATAAGTATACACCATCAAATCGTGTGCCATTTGCCTTAGCTTCTTCTTACAATTTTTAAAATTAATTTGAAATAGTTGCATTATATATATGTATAAAAGCCAAAAAAATTAACTTGAATAGTTGCATCAGATCGAGTACTTTACAAATTGATTTCAACCACATATGCTTGACAATGCTCAACATAAAATTTCTTAGTAACTAAACTAAGCTAGTCAACAATTAGCTAGCTTCCACATTGTTATATTTTGTCTACAATGTCGTGGAGAATATACATCCATTACATCTTTAATCAAAAGTAGTATGATATGAATTGCATCAATAAGATCAAGACCACTAATTGCAATTAAAATGCGGTCCATCCCTGTGTTTATTCATGCATGGAACTTTTATTAAATCAATATAATGACAAAAATCAAGGTATTGGATTGGAACAATTGAAAAGTATCTAAAGAAGTAAACTTTTCCTTCAATCAATTTTGGATGAAAGTGTTGAAAAAACCTGGTGTTAATTGAGGTATGAACGTAATCACCCTATAATTAAAAACAAGAAATTAAGTTATTTTAATAAATTGATTAAGCCACTTAAATTACAAATTTTATTTTATTTTTAATAAAATTAATTAATAAAAAACTAAAGAGGTTTATAAAAAAAATATAATAAATGTAAATTAAACAATTTATAAAAATAAAAAAAAATACCTCCTCTTCCATTAGGACCATATCCAAACTTTTAAGCTATGTTGTTTACAGAAATTTAGTATGTCAAATAGGCGAGAAACTTGTACTTTGATTTTCCAATCATTTTTGCTCGATTTTAATTCTCTAATTAAATTAGATCTGCATGTAAAAACAAAATTCAGTAAACAAAACATAAACAGATAATCGTTAAGTATCCCAAATAAATACAATGTAAGTACTAATTACAAATATAAATTTAAACATAGGATTTTAAAAATTACCCAGACATTAATGACCTAAAACTAACACAAAATTCGCTTAATGGGGTTTCATATTGATACAAATTTTGTTGGTGTCGTATGATGCGTTAGAGGTGCATGTAAAAACAAAATTTAGTAAATAAAACATAAACATATAATCGTTACGTATCCCAAATTAACACAATGTAAGTAATAATTACAAATACAAATTTAAACATAGGATTTTAGAAATTAAGCTAAAAATCACCCGACCATTGATGACCAAAAACTAACACAAAATTACTAACACAAAATTCAATTGATGGGGTTTTGTATTGATACAAAATTTTATTTGTGTCGTATGATGTGTCAATTTATAATGGTAGATATCACAAAGTTTAATTTAATTATAATTAACGAATAATTTTTATTTCTTATCATGAATACTATTAAAAATTATCTTATAATGGTAGGTATCAAACTTTATTATAATCGTTTATCATTTGAATATTTTTTATTTATTTTATTGGGTTATCATGAAGTCATATTCTCATTCCATGTATATCTACATTTACTCATAAATTATCATATTATAGTTAAGTATTTTTCTATTTGAATCCACCATATTTCTCCACCATATCATAAATTAAAAAAATTAATATTTGAACCCACCATATTTCTCCACCAAGTTTAGTTACGTGGAGATAATTTTCACCATATCGTAAATTTTTTAAAAAAATTAATATTTAAACCCACCATATTTCTCCACCAAGTACAGTTACGTGGATATAATTTTTGAATAGTAGGATATTTTCATAATTTGAACCCAATCAAATATCTTTTTGGAGATTTATCTTTTCCTATATTTTTTAGGATTTCTTATACCCATAGTATTGATTTAATGAACTTATCTTTTCCTATATTTTTACTTTATTTATTTCCATTAAAATAATTTAATTCGTGGATTATAATCTACAAATAAAATACAAATCTTTTTTCTTATTGGTCGAAATAATTATATTTCTTACATGGCTCTCTGAATGCTCCTTAAAAATGCCTACTTTATTTATATGTATTAGATTAAATTAGATTATGGTAGGTTTTCTGAATATATCTAAGTTTTTGCTTAACCACACTACTTACGTTAAAATTAACTAAACTATGCCTTTTTTTTTTTAATAACTAAATTTAAGATATTTTACTTAAAATTAAATTTCTATTAAACTTGATCAAATAGCCTAATAGATCGAATAAATAGAGTCTTAAATCTTAATGTCGAACTTATATTCATCTTATATTTTATGGACAGGTTTACACTTCGACCATAGGATAAGCTTCATGTCGATGACCCACCCTTGGGCCTTCCCTCTTTTTTAGTTTTATGAAGCCCAACTCTCTTGGACTATTTATGAATCAAATGTATCATGATGAAGTATGATATACATACTACATTCACTTTATAGTAATCGCAATAATAACTTTTGCACTGTTTTTATACTCATTACTTTAACTATATTTTTTTTTATCAATATATAAAAAAAACATATTTTGTCATGTAATATATTTTTGAACTGGTGTTTATGTACATTTTCATTTTATCAACCTTTTCTACTTCTTATTAATATATAATTACAAATATTTCTGGTTAAAAACTTAAAGTTGTGCATTGGCACATGTGTTAGTCAAACAATTGTGTTATAGTAATAAGTCTTGAACTCTTGTTGTATGAGTATCTTTCTTTGTGCAAATCGCCAATTCACTTACAACCCGTATCGAGAACTCTAAGTGATGAAGGAAAAAAAATTCCCTCACCACTGTACAATTACAATTATAAATGGGAAGATCATTGTCAAATGGAGAGAGTAAATAAAAAGAGATGCTCCCTCCATTATTTTAACTTATATCACTTTGACAAACAAAAATTTTTAAACGGTTGATTTGAATTTGTTAAAATAATTTGTGAATAGAGTTTGTTGGGAAAAAAAAAGTAAAATAATAATTAAAAAAAAAAAGTGATAGCGAGGAAATAGTTTATCTAAAAGTTAAGGACGTGAGAAAATGAAAAATATATATATATATAAAAAAAAATGATCATTTATAATCATTTAAGGATGTGAGAAATTGAAAATATTTCTACTTTTTAAAACTACACTTTCTTTTTGAAAATCCCTTACATTTTAATTTTACCCACCAATGGTCTCCACACTCTCTTAATCATTATCACTCCTATAATAATCTCCACACTTTCTCACATCCCTTTACTTTTCAATAAAATAATAACTTATTATCTTTTCTTACAATTATTTATTATCATACCTACCCCATTAACATCTTATTTTTTTAATGTTAATAAAACTTCCTAAAACTCCATGCATTTACAACTCTAGCTTTAAAAGAAACGGAGGGAGTAGTATTATTTTGAGTAATGTTATACTCCCTCCGCGTTTAAATAAATGAAACGTTTTGACGTTTGCACTATTTATCCAATTCACTCAGACTAATGTTTGTGATTTATAAATATAAATAAAAAAAATATAAATAAATATAGTTTGTAAGTATTTGTTGGAATCGTCCTAATAAATAATTTATTAATGTTCAATTGTTATAAATGAAAATTCTTTGATATCGAGGGTTCTCAAAGGAAAGTACTTTCCAAGATTGACTTTCTTTGATGCAAAAATTGGTCCAAATGCGAGTTATACTTGGCGTTCTATTTTGAGTCTGAGTCCTAGGGATGTTCTTGAGAAGGGGGGGGGGGGGAGGAAAATAATTGGGGATGGTTCTTCAATTAGCATTTGGAAGGACCCGTGAGTTCCTAACATGCCTTGCTTTAGAGTGCAGACGGAACAAGGAGGGGCTTCAAGTGAGCTAAATGTTGTCAGGGACCTTTGTCATGAAAGAACATGGAATGTGGACATCATCTCTGATGTGTTCACTGACTTTTTTTTGACAGAAAAGGTGAGTGGAATTGGCAATTCTCGAAGAATGGCAAGATTGATGTAAGAAGCGCATACAATCTTCTGACTATGGAGAAGGTTCGGGAGCAAGCTGCTTCTTCTTCAGGCAATGTTGAATTTGATTGGAATATAATATGGCAGGCAAGTGTTCCCCCGAAAGTGAAGAATTTTGCATAGAGAGGTATTAGAGATGGCATTGCTGTTGGCCAGAATCTTGCAAACAGAGGTATGATTGTTGATACAATATGTCCTATGTGTGGTGAGGATAGTGAAAATGCCCTCCATATGATTGTGAAAAGTAGAGATGTCAGATTGTTATGGCATTTTTCTCCATTGCGTCTAGAAGTGGATGAGTACGGAGGTGAAAATTTTAAAGAGTGGTGTAGTATGGTGCGTGGGAAGTACAAGGAGTCTCAATGGAGGGATATATTTTGGTGCATTGTGTGGCTTCGTAGAAATGCGTGGTTGTTCAATAGAAAAAGGGTGGAGGTAGGAATTGTTATTTCAAAAGCTTTGAGCTTGGTAGATGAGTATGGGCAGGTGATTGCAGCAAGCAGGTAGGCGTCAAGGGTCCTATGCTCCTATTGCCGGTACTATCAAGATTAACTCGGATGCGGCTATGCTCAATGATAATCAAGTGGGTTTGGGGGGTGTGATGAGAGAATTTGAAGGAGATGTGGGGGTATCAACGTGTGTGGTAGTGAAGGGTGTGGTTGAGGTAGATGTGGCTGAGGCGATGGCGTTGCGGCATGCCGTTATTGCTCTAGATTCGGGTTTCCGTAATGTTTGCCTGGAAAGTGAAAACGGATTGTGTGAAGCTGTTCAGCTATCTAGAAAATGCCACGGTTTGCCCAACTGATTTTGGCTCGATTGTTTGCGACATTCTGCACCTTCCCCGCTAGTGCTCTTCTTTCTCTTTTTTCTTTTGTGAAAAGGGAGGGTAATAGTGTGGTTCATAGCCTTGCTAGATTGAGTCCTATATGTGATGGGCTTAGAGTTTGGACGGAGGATACTCCTTTTGCTCTAGCTGAGTTTGTAATGGCTGATTTATGCCCCCCCTCTAATTAATAAAGGTTCGATCTTTCCATCAAAAAAAAAAAAATTTGTTATAATTTTTACTAATTGATAATTAAGCCTTTTCCGAAAAGCTCGTTTTGGCCCGATAAGCCTGCCACTTTTAGACGTGTTTGGGCATGACATTTGATATTAAGGCCCGGCCCGGCCCGTATTTATGATCACCTCTAAAATATATGACAAAATCAAATAAGTGTAATTAATGTTATTTTTTCATTTGTTTTTCTCATTTTTAGCTCCTTACATATAGTTGTAAGGACTATGTATAGCATTTTCATACTATTTAAAGTAATTTACTTGTACTAATTTATCTAACGTTCAGAGACACTTGTTAGCAAGATCCTAATAATATTGGTGAACTTGCAACCCTTAGACAAACATAGAAACAACGGAAGAAACAATCTTTGGAAATGATGAAATTTGTTTATGAAAACAAGCATAATTTGAGTTAATATTGCTAGTTTAAAAAATAAGTTAAGTTTGATATTGTGTAAATATTTTATGAGACAAATCTAATAAGATCTCACATGACTATATATTGCTTACTATATAAATCATATTATATGGTCAAACAAGAGTGATGAATAGTGCCAAAGTCTAGTTGTTGCAATATTATTGGAACGGAGGAAGTATTAAATTGGAAGGGGTTTCCAAAAAAGGAAGTGTAGCTTTTAAAAAAACCGGATAAAACTAGTAAGTGTAGCTTTTAAAAACAACAGAGGGAGTATGTAGCTAATAAATTAAAAATAAGTTTTTTTTTTTTTTGGAAATAATTAAAAATAAGATATGTTTGGGCAAAAAAAGAAAAAAAAAGAAAAGGGGAAGTAAAATGATACGGAGTAAACTGATAGTCTGATACCAAGAATAACAAGAGTTGAAAAGAAGTGATAATCTTCATTTACCACTCATTTATAGCTTTTACCAACAAACAACATTTCATTTCTGGTTTCACTTTCACCCCTTGTTCTAGTACCCTTTCCCCAGCCGCCGCACTTATTTTTTTCCATTTCTTTAAAATGATAAAAAAAAATTAACCACAATCAATAATCTACTGTTAATTTGATCTCATAAATATGGATGATTTGTTTACAAATGGCCGGCAATTAACCGGCGCCGGTTTCTCCGAAGAACTGTCCCCTTTTCCCGACCCTGAACCTCAACCTCAACCTCAATTCTTCTACCCTCATTCAACGACTCCTGTTCCCCAGAAACTCCGTCCTATCAGATCCAACGACTCCTCCTTCCTCAGAAACAACGCCTGTAATTCGTCCGACTTAGGGTTCCTCCCTTTTCAGCCCCATTTCCCTACCTTGCAGGATGACACGTCAGCTTCTGCTCATCAATTGTTCAAGATGAAATCTGACATGGATGCTCACCTTCTTTCTAACTTCAAGTCTCAAATTTCAAACCTCGACTTTTCCTCTTTCAGGTTTTTTTTTTTCTTTTTTAATTTGATAATCTCTTTTTTTTTTTTTTTTTTTTTTTTTTTTTTTTTTTTTTTTTTTTCAATTTGAGTGCCGCGAGGACAGTGATGGAGAAGGGATTCGATCCCGGGTCTTAGGTACCACCATCAAGACTTAACCTGTTAACCAACTAAACACTCTTATTGTTATTAGCTACAGTTTTTTTTTTTTTTTTTTAACTCCATATATACTTTCTAATTTCGGATATTTCTGATTATAGGAAGATATATATAGCTATAAAAATAAAGTTTGGAATTGTATAAAAGATACAGTAATAACAGTATAAGTGTGGCTGTAAATTAAATTGTTTCCTCATTTTTAGTTTTTTTTGAGGTAAAGATTATGGGGAGTATTTGCAGAATTTGAGTTGATTGTTTTGAATTCAGTTCTTGTTCAGATTGTAGTGATGATTCTGCGCAAAAGGGAGAGGAGGAGCGAACCTCAAATGGGAAACCTAAAAAGAAGAGGAAGAAGATGGAGTCATTTTTACAAGGATTGATGTCTCAAGTTATTAACAAGCAAGAACAGATGCACCAGCAGTTGATGAACATGATTGAAAACAAGGAGAAAGAGCGGATTCTTCGAGAGGAAGCGTGGCGCCAACAGGAGTTGGACCGTGCTAATAGAGATCACCAGATTAGAGCTCAGGAGGCTGCTCGTAATGTTGCTCTTATTTACTTCATTCGCAACGCTCTTGGGGTTTCCGAATTACAGGTTCCCGACCTCTTATCGTTGCCCCAGGTTTTTTCTGGGGAGGATAATGTTGCTGATGCTCAGAGCTTGGGCCAAGGTGAACAGGATAGGTTTGATCCTAATTATAAGAGGTGGCCGACGTCTGAGGTGCAAGCGCTCATCACTCTACGAGCTGCTCTCGATCACAAGTTTCATACTATAGGCGCTAAAGCGCCTGTGTGGGATGAAGTGGCGGCTGGAATGGCTAAAATGGGATACACTCGGAGTGCAAGGAAATGCAAGGAGAAGTGGGAGAATGTTAACAAGTATTATAAGAAGGCAACTGACAATGGAAAGAAATATTCTGAGAATGCGAAATCGTGCCCATACTTCCATGAGCTTGAAACCCTCTACAAAAATCGACTTATTACTGCTGCTAAATCAAACTCTCCTAGCAATGAAGATTCGGAACAGAATGCAAATGTATAACAACTTATATTAGTACTGGACTTGAATTCTATTATGGCTTGTCCAATTATCTGAGCTACGAAAAGAAAGCAGTTCCTGCTGGAAGTGGGAGTGGAACTTCTTCTTTTGTTCTGTAGTCGTAAAAGTTCCAATTTGTTGATTCTTTCAGCAACTACTAGCTGCAATATTTAAAATTAACAGAGAAGGAAACAAGGATATTCAGTAAAGCCATCATTTTGGCTTTATGCTCGTTGATGATCATCGGAAAGACCCAGACTAACACAGTCCATCCGCACTGCCTAACAGTCTCAATCTTGTTTCCTCCGGCGGGCAATGTTATTTGCTTCTTTCGCATGTTATTATTGGTATGTCTTTGATCTTTTTCTTGGATGTAACCAGCAAGTCGTGCCTGGGAGGAAATCGGATATAACAATAAAAAAATTGCAATTTTTCCCAGCATGTTGCTGGCTAGTCCTGTAGACCATTTTCTGTATTCATCTGGTTCATTTTTCTGCGAACTAGATTGATGCATTCAGCAGCTAAGTAGTCCGGTAAGCACTGTAAAGCTTATTTAAGCATAAATGAAGTAACAATTAGCTCAGAGTTTTTCTTTTGTACGCAGACATTGTTTGCTGTGACATAATCTTCAATTGAAATCTGTGGTCATATTTCTTGCAAAAACCTCTTATGATGCAAAAAAATCACAGGTACCGTTGTGATTATCATGATTAATGATTGGTAAAACAGGCATTGTTGAACTGTTTTAGCTATTCTCAAAATAAATAAATAACAGGTATTGTTATTGGATTAATGTCATGACATTGACTTGCTTACAATATAACAAAAACTTCTAAGGTTGATATTAACATTGAAGATCTGAAGAGTTGATTGCGATATGTGAATTGCATTGCAGCATGTTAGCCTTCCTGGTACTCTGTAAGGGGTGAGACATCTACCCATGCCTGATGTTCCCCTCCACGCGAATCTTTTACTGGTGAGTATCATATTTGGAATTATGGATGCTATTCATTGCTAGTAGCGTTTAAACTTGGCTAACTCATATATCACCAGAAAAAAGGAGTAGAACAGGGTTGAGATGGGAATTATTGACAGCAGGAAGGCGAGTATGATAGGGGGATCTTGCTGCATATAATAGGGAAAACTCAAGATAAATGATACCATGAGCAATATAATTAGGACCTTGGCACAACTTCCGTTGTCTTTCATTTGATAAGATTTACTAGACAGAGAGAAAAGAAACAAGGGGGAGAGGGGGGCGAGAGAGAAAATAGAGTGCTATGCTGTTGATTATCATGTACTCGTAATCGATTATTTCTGTTTTACAGTTTACTCACTGCTGAAAGTAAATTTAACCTTTATCATTAACAAGTGTGGAATCCTGTGGAGGGTAGGTGCATGTACATAAGCAAAAACCATTTGCTCAACAAATATGGAAACCGGAAAGTGAAAAGAAGAGGGTATGAGCTCTTACAAAGTAGGGTTACCATTTTAAGAGATATAATTACTTCTATCTATCTGAAAATAACCTACCACAGTACCACATACATCGCGAATGATTATAAATTTGCTTCTAATGGTTTGTTGTCTAAACTCTTAAGTAGCTAGGTTCATTGGCATCATCCAACAACTTTTTCATCTAATTAATTGCCTCTTATTATTAATCATTTAATTGCTTTCACTATTTTGTTATGACTTTATACAGGAAAGGATCATGTATCCACAGTTAGTACGAGGTCATTTTTGTGAAATCAACATTAAATGAAATCTTGTCACTTTATGAGATGACTAAACAACTCTCTTTTCTCTATTTCATGATCTTATTAATGAACAAATGAATAAATTTTCAGTGTTACAATCTTTTTCTTTCTTTCTTTTTTTTTTTTCAGTCTATATGGTCTTTCAAGTACTGCTTCTTCCATTAAAGTTATCTCTATTGAATATTTGTGTCATTTGAATTGGAAGTCTGATTATTGAAGTAGATCATATCCCTTCCTTCTTTAAAGCTTGGTTTGATAGGCGCAGCTGGAAACCCTGAATATTGACCTTCCATTTTGGCCTTGCAAATTTTAACCATGTTCCTAAGGAGCTCGTATCTCTGAACAAAAGACTGTACTGCGTATTCTTGAAAGGGCATCCACTGCACATTTAAATTGATAAAAGGGAGTGACGAAAGAGTTGGCAGAGGGTGTAATAGTCGAGAATATGCTTCATAGCTTGGAATTTTGGTCTGATTTGTATCCTTAATGGCTTATGGATTGCAATTTGCAAACAAAACGTGCATGATGTTATAGACATGGATGAGCAACAACTGAACGAAATAATTTACCTGAGCTGCTTCAATTTCTGTTTCCTGAACCTGAATGTTATATGACAGAGGTTGTAGAAAACAGACAAAGAATAGATCCGACTTCTGGAAAAATGCCTTGTGATGTTCTCTGTAAATGTAGAGAATCAGCATTCAGCAATAAACAAACTTTCTACTAACAACTGGAGAAGGTTTGAAAGAGGATTATAAATGTGAAGAATTTGGCAACTACTGTACCTGAATGTCAGCACTTCCTCAAATTTTGTTTCAATCTGCAAAAAAGAAATCAAATATATGAGCCAAGAATGCCAAGAAAGGGCATTTTAAAGAAGATATGGACCTGGGCACTTTACTTACTCCTGTCTCTTCCTTGACTTCTCGCACGGCCGCTGTACAAATGTCCTCCCCCTGTGAATTTGAAGTGTCAATGATAAAAACAAGGAAATGTCATACATGAGCACAACTATAAGGACTGCAGAACCTAATAATCAAATAAATACGTGTAAGGAGTAAACCTCATTGGCTGTTCCGGTGGGAAACTTCCACACACCCTTTCCTTTTAACATTCCATTCTTCTCTTGAACCACTAGTACCTACAGGCACACATGTAGGAAAAGAGTGATTAAGTGCAGAATTCTGGTTGGGATTTGAGAAGTACTTAAAACTGATGATTATATTGAAATCTAAGAGTGAAAGTATGTAATACCTCCTTTTTGTCATTGATGACAAATGCACCAACAGTAACACGATGAGATGCATTTGCTGGAAGGGCACAGGGTTCATCATGAGGGAGCCACTTTGCTAACATTACATATCTTGGTTCTGCATGGTGGTACCAAAACCCTTCCTGCAAAAATGCATGAAGTATATACATTGAAAAAAGAAAAGTTCAAAATTGTAAGTTGAAGCAACAATAATATATATATATATATATATAGCATACCTTGACAGCAGCTTCAATAAGATTGTAATGTCGAATAGGAAGTTTAATCCATATACCTCTTTTCCCCTGCATGCATCAATCATAATCAGTGTAAAACAGACTATCAGAATATCATAATCAAACAGAAAAATCAATTATGATTGTTTAAGGTGATGAAGAAAAGAAAAAAAAAAAAAAACCAGTTGAGTCCAGTGAGAAAGAGAAGCTCTGAGGGAAGAGGCAAAGAGGTGGGAGTCCATGGGTTCCCGCATATCAACAAAGAGACCTCCATGCTCATCTTCTGTGGCTGAAAGTAATCGTAGTTTTCGAGTCTGAACCTGATACAATCTCCTGAAACTCAAAAGCTGCCTGCTTGTGGTAATATGCTTAATAATACCACTATCATTCATATGATTAATCAATCCTACACTTTGGTGATCATAGTTGAAGGTGCTACTTATTACTCTTGTAAGACACGAGAAATTCCGGGTGGTGCAGAGAGATCTAAGAAACATCATCATCATCATCCGCGAGATTAATGTACTTAATCTTATGGAAGATGAACTTGAAAGGCTAATTGATCAATTAAATCAGATTACCTGTGACCTGAGTAATTCAATTCATATATATAACAAGAATGTATCTGAAGTAAGTGTTATGGAAACTTACGTAAACACAACCCACATATACATTAAAAAATTGCAAGTTTGAAATTATTTTGAATGGACGTTTCAATGCATTTTTTACTAATACTTGAATTTATGTTTTTCTACGTACATTTGAATGCTGTAATAATACATGTACTGCGTGTTCACTCCTTAATCCTCATAATTAAGGATATGATTATTGGTTTGAAGGAAACAATTCCTACAAATGACTCAATTAGTATTCCTAGCTACTATTATTAGTCCTGCATGCGTACAGACCGGGAGAGTGGAAAGGCGAACATCAAGATCAAATTCGCGTTGGTTATTGTTAATACTCCAGAGATTACCTGGAACAACTTGAGGCACTGATTTTTCAAACAAACAACTGAATTGGTCAAAGACTCAAACTAATTATACTTTGTCCTTAATTACGTTTTGAATTCACTAATGCGTGTCAAAGGCTTTGTTCCTTTTGACACCAAATATGTACGGAGTATCACCTTGGGAATGTCTTACGGGTTGTATTTAATATTTATGACTATTTCGTACTGTAAAATTTTATTGTTTGTTTTAACATTTGCTTCATGTTGTCATAGTTACCCCGTTTGATGGATTTTTAACAATTCAACAATTTTGGTTAGGTTACAAAAGTTTTATACTTATATTCTCTCTATAAAACCATTGCATGATTGTTCTCCAATAGACCCATTTAAATATTCGACTATTTCTGTTAATATACACTACAAAATTATAGTCTGGTACTCACTCCATTTCACAATGATTTCCCACCACTTTGATTGTACACGTTTGTCAATACATTAGTTTGACAATTAAATATCTTTAGTTACAAATTAGTAAGAAAAAATTAACAATTGTATATTAATAAATTACTAATTGAGACAAATCAAATAAAACCAAACATTATGTATTGACAATTATTTATAAGATTTTCTCACTTTATAAATAATGTCAAGATAACAAATATAAATATCATTATGAAACGAAGTGAGTATTACATATTACATAATACTCAAGACATCTAATGCCTAATTAGTTTATAGATGTACATCTTATTTTACAACATAGAACGAAGTATATGATTTGTACATTACTCGAAACAATCTTTTGGTTAGGCTTTAAACGCAACATAATTTTTTAAAAATGTAAGCTTTGTCCCTCTGTTAATTATTTTTATAAATTTAGAACTTGTATAACCCTCTATTATTTCTTTTTTAACTCTTTACTTTTTTTTTTTGGAGAATAACTCTTTACTTTCTGTTTCTTTTGTAAAAGTAGGACTTATTTTTTATGTATATGTAAAAAAAAAAAAAAAAAAAAAAAAAAAAAAAAAAAAAAAAATCAATCATTAGGAGCCTCTCATCACGAGGGAAACTCTTAATATTTGTAATTAGAGCACGAAAGGAAAATGGTGGCGAAATAAATAAAGGATGATCTAATAATACTGTAGTACTTGGGAATATATATTTGTGACAAAACAAGTAATCAACCATGATAAAATCCATACCAAAACATAATTTAATATTATTTGAACGTACAAGAAACAAAGAACAACATCAATAAAAGAGCAAAACATTAAAATCTAAGAAAGTAAAATGAAGTCGGCCATTAAAAAAGAAATGGGCCGGACAGGAATGATTAATCAGAGGTATTATATTGAAGGAGGAGGAAGACAATGATAAGGACGACAGGGATGAGAAGAAGCATGGTGAACGAAGGCGCGGCGACTGAACCCATAAACAATGGAAGGACAAGCAGAAGGAATGCCACCCCTATGATAGCCATCACTGAACCAAAACCGATGCCAAATTCACCATCATCCATTTGATCCGTACTAATACTTCGCCTAAATGTATCACGTTATTCACGTCCTATATATTTTAATTTCGTTCTACAAATGATTAGTGTAGTAATAATGTATGATTATGTGAATATTATTATAATCAAATCCAAATGAGTTTATATAACCCATAGATAGATGCATGCATTGATATTTGACACCCCTTGGCGAAGGGACACATCGTTTGGATTCATGAATTGTTTTTGTGTAATCCTAGTTGCATCAATTTTAAATATCTGCCAAAATATTAACTGTGTACTCGCCTTTTCGTTTGGAAGGTTAAGAGACTTGCTATATTTCATTTGTATTGGACCTACTTCAACCTTTAATTTCCCACCTTTCAGGCCCTATTCTCCTTAAAAAAAATAAAAAAATTCTAATTTTTAAAAATTAAGCATATCCTACAAAATAAAGTACATGTGTTGTGTCTGCGTGCCTTATGCTTAAAACTAAGTGGGTCATGCCTATAATGGACGAATGACTCAAGATATAGTCATGTCATATCGGACTTTTGCTTATCTTTTATGAACAGAATTTTTGCACGCCTTGACCTACGAGTTGTGTGATAGGTAGTTTCATGTCTATAGAACTCTTAATAAATTTTTTATATTTTTGATAAACTGGTCAAAAGTTCAAAACTAAGAGGATCAATTTTTCATTCATGTGCCAAATATTGGATAATTTTCATGCATGGCTCACTGTGTGGCACTCGTGCCGTGCCGATCCAATATTGTATTGTGTCTAATCGGCCCTCAATCTGGTCCATATTCATCTCTATTAAAAGCCTAGTTTCTTGATAGTATGTACTCAATTTTAATTTCTTACTAGTATTTGTTAACTTAGTATATATGTAGAAAAAAAGGTTAAGAATTGTTAGTTTTCAACAACAAACTCACTCTCACAGTATATAATCACGGGAGGTATTATAAGACAGAAACTGAATTTCCTAAAAACTGGTTAACAGATAGTATTCAGATAAAGATATTATTTCCTTTCTGTTTAAAACCTTGGCACATTGCATTAGTGTATGATTAAAATAATATCAAACTGTTTTATACTTGGTATATTTTATATAATTCTTTGTATGTAACTAGAAATATTTATATGTTATTGTTTTGAGGGGAACAGGAAAAAAAAAAAAAAAGAAAGAAAAATTGAAAACAAAAGATAGAGAGAATGGATTAGTACCATTACGTAGCTATACCCATGGATAACTTTATTTATTTATTTATTGATTTATAAGTATTAATTTTTAGAAAAAATTAAAAAAAATAATCCAAATATTATCTCCCTTCTCATTTTAATCCCAACTAAAGTTTAAATCAGAATAATCCCAACTATAGAGGTTCCTTCTCAAATTAGTCTCTCTTAAAAATAATCCAAATATTATCTCCCTTCTCATTTAAATCCCAACTAAAGTTTAAATCAGAATAATCCCAATTATAGAGGTTCTTTCTCAAATTAGTCTCTCTTACCTACAACCTATAATACTGGTTAAACTTTTTTTTTTCTTCTTCTTTTGGGTGAGAATTAACTTTTTATTTATTTATTTAATATATTTATTGGTACCACCATTTACCTACAACCTCGGGCCTTCTGCAGCCACAACCATCACCCCCAAAACTCGCGACCACTAACAACCACCCCTTCCGTTCAACACCTCATCAGTCATCATCTCCCCACCTCGAGCTCCCAGAAATTTCAGCATCTGAACTAATTAGTTAAAGCTTGCATATCTTAATCTCACACACCAGGCTACCGTCATTTCTTCATATCAATCCGGCCAACCCACCACCTCCTCACTGCCACACCACAACCACAACCACAACCACAACCACAACAACAACACCCTCCACTACCTCTTTATCACCTCACCTCATCTCCCCTCCCTCTATTGCAAATAATTACATCTTGTTACCCAATTGTCTTGCAAGTTCATTCCCACTTCATATTCGGGTTACAAAAAGAAAATTACTAGGTAAATTATACCACTAAACCATATAAATTCTATTCTCAAACATGGTTTCAATCATTTCATGTAAACGCCCTAAAAAATTAACAATTAATTTCGCTATCCAGTTCTGCGGTCGTTTGGAGTGGTTGTTGCAGGGGAAACTGTGGTTGATGGTGATAGTTGTTGGTGGTTGGTGGTGCTTGATGGAGATTTACGGTTGGGGTGGGCAGGTGGTAGGGTGGTTTGGCCGGAAAAATACTTTTGGTGGCTGGGGTGAAAAGGTAGTTTTAATGGATGGACTTAGTTGGGTAGGCGGTGAGATCAGAGGTTGGTGGTAGGAGTTTGGGTTTAAGAGTATGTAATGGTTTTTTTTTTTTTTAAAATATATATATATATATATATATATATATATATATATATATATATATATATATATATATATATATATAATAATGTTGACATATTGCTCATTTTACTTGATTAATAGGTTAGCAAAAAGTTGAGACTAATTTGAGAAGAGACTCCTATAATTGAGATTATTTTAATTTAAACCGTGGTTCGGATTAAAATGAAAAGAGAGACAATAGTTTGAATTATTATTATTAATTTTTCCTAATTTTTACAAGAGAGGCTAGGTAGCATTAAGTGAAATAGGGTATCGGTAATTGGGGAAGAATAAAGGGATGTACTTTATTTCACAAGACAGTGTGAATGGGTAAATAAATAGCCCTAGCTAGTCAAAATTAAAATTAGAATTGACTAGTAGTACTAGGAATAAAGAAGTATAATTGTGTTTGTAATCTTTTGTCTTTTATTGTTTATACTCTATTTATATCTTTGTGGTCTCCAATACAATGTGTTTGAACATTAATATCTCTACGTAAGTAATTGTGTACTACTCTAAGGGGGCGTTTGGTATCATCTTAATAAAGGTAACGGAATGGAAACAAATTAGGAGGGAAAAGGATAATATATAGTGTTACCCTTACTAGTTGTTTGGTATTATTAAGGAAACGTAAACGATTACAACCAATCTGTTTCCTCTTGTTTGACATTGATAACTTGGAAACAAATAGCTTTCCTATTATTTTTTGTTGTCTCGGCTAATTTTTGCTACACATTATGCAATGTAGAGCAACACTAATTACCATAATATTTTATTTTTTTTGAAACCAATTACCATAATATATCATATGCTAGATATAGGCAAAGTCACATAAAGTATTGATTACAATAGCATTGAAATTCTAGTATTCTCCAAACGAAAAAAAAAAAAACACTATTGAATTGAAACATTAAAACTCCAATAACAACTTAGGACAAAACTTTCGACTTCTTCTTAAGGAGATCAATTGCATATTGTTTCTCCATATTAGTTGGTGCTTGATAGAAGATGCGGAGCTTATGTTCTTCCGCCATGAGAATTGTAGCAATCTCTAAAGGTTCGGATGGAGAAATTCCATCTAATTTCACCACCTCATCCAAAACCTTGTTCACTTTTTCATCCATCCTTTGCTTCCTTTCTTCCGCTTTAGACCATGCACTAGCAATAGTCCCGAGATTAACATTGATATTGTCAAATATCTTCCCAAAACTGTTGGAAACATCATGGAGGGAGGCCACCAGATCATCATCGTCATTCCCTACACAAACTCTTCAAATTTACCTTGTTCTTTCCTTTTACCTTAGCCTCCTTCGCCTTTATAGAGTGTTTTCCGGATTGAGTAGTAGAATCACTTGCGGAAGAATGAATTGTAGAAGCCTTCACATTTTTTGAAGGAACTGAATGATCATCCTCTATCTTCATGGGGATTTTTCCGAATTGACTTGTAGAAGAATAAGTGTCCGAGTGAGTAGAGTTCACATCATCTTCTTCATCATTCTCAACATTATTCAATGGTTGCTTATTAATCTCTTGATCATATCTTCTATAACATCAACGTACGACTCACTTGCATCTCTGCTTTGCCTTTTGCGTATATCTCCGCAAGAGTTTCATAGTGAATGAATAGAATTCCAAACAACCCCTTAGATTTCTTATGAGTCTGCCATATAAGAGAATGCAACAAGTCAAAAACATTCGTAATAATTTGGTTAGACTTCTAGAGCTGTAGACCTGCAGTCTATGCAAATTATCAAAAAGTAACTGATTGAACTTATTAATATCATAACTCATTATTCCCATCCCTACCACCCTTACCTGTACACTGCCTCAACCCCTAGCTGCACACCTGCCCCCTTTCCCCTGCTACCTATTCCCTACCTTACTACCTATTCCCCTCCCTGCCCCCCTGAAAAGAAACAAATTCTAAAGAGTGGCTTCTAAAATCTAACCTCAATGCAAGTAAACCTAGCAGCAAACATAATATGCAAGTAAACCAACTTAGAAATTTTTTGCTAAAATGTCAAACTGAACTCAGATTTCAGTATGTAAGTAATAACATCAGCTATAAGTAAACTATGAAATCTGTCAACCATGTCATAAAATTTCCTCTAGAAAGAAATATAACAAAGCATATCAGTAAAAGACAAAGGAATTAACTGGAACTCTGGTTTGTAGACTTAAATGTAAAACCACGTAATATAGACACACTAATATCCTAGTAGTGCTCACACTGCTGGAAAACACAAAGAAAAAAATAGCCTAAAATTTAGAATTATGAAAAACTTTGTCACTGCTAAAAACAAGTTGTTAAGATAATCTTGTCACTACAAGTCAGTCAATTCATACCTTCACCCATTCATCAAACACGGCCTTATCTATCCACTTGCAACAATTTATTTTCAGTATCCCATCCAAATCTTGAGGTGGATAGCATTTCCGTAAATGCACTATATTTCTCCGACCAATGCTTGATCCTCGACTCAATGTGGGGAACCACTTTCAAGCCACAATTAGGAAGTACGCTACTAATCATCTCTTCTAATCTATTCATGTAACCATTCTTAAACCCATTCTCGCACTTCCACTTTGGATCACAACTCAACTTATGCAAACATCTTATTAGAACCGCATCTACTTCATATGTCCAATACCTTTTATTTTTACCTCTTCCTCGATTGCTAGCCTCCATCCTAAACAAATTGCAAATTAGAAGGTAGATTAGAAATGAACATAACATAAGGCAAATTAGAAATGAACATAATATAAGGTAGATTAGAAATGAACATAATATAAGGTAGATTAGAAATGAACAGAAAAAGGCAGATTAGAAATGAAACAGAACAAAAGGCAGATTAGAATTGTGCAAAGTAGAAGGCAAAATTCAAAGTGGCAGTGGATTCAAAATGAACAAAAACAGAAAATACACCTATATATACACACTGTAATCGAAGAAAAAAAAATCATACATTTTGTGGCATTGACCATGTCTACCTCTCGCCCTCCAATCATTAAACATATCTTTGGCTAATTTGTTTCTAAAATTGGTCCAATGATCCGAAGTAGCAACACTTGTAATAAATTCCCTTTCATCATCGGAATCACTTTCGAAATCATTATCAAATTCATTCAATTCATCTTCGTTTATATCATCCATAGGCATGCATTTTCTAATTAGATTATGCAATAAGCAACAAGCCATCACGATACATCCATGAGATCTTATAGGGAAAAATAAAAGACTTCTAAGAATACTCCATCTTCCATTAAGTAGGCCGAAACATCTCTCAATCACATTTTGCGCCCTAGCATGTTTCATGTTAGAGAAATCCTCGGCACTTTTGGGTTGTCGATCCGTCCAATCTTTTATAAATGGTATCTTTAACCTCTATATGGAGCAAGAAAGCCCTTCACAATTCTTATATCCCGCATCAACAATTCGTATAATTACCTTCAAAGTTATTAAAAAAAAATTATTACTACCTACCAAAACTAACAAAACATAAATATATATACTCACAAAAAAATGGCCTTCACTTACCTCGAGGTACCCTAAAACCGTTTGGTCTAGAAAGAGCATTGCAAAATACATGATATCATGGGTTGAACCTTCCCAACCAGGAAGAACATAAATAAATTGCATACCGGGTGCACAAACACCCAATACATTCATAGCAATTGTTCCTTTTCTTGTTCTATACTTTGGTCGTTCTTGTGAAGGCACATTTACATTAATGTAAGTCCCATCTAATGCCCCTAAACAATTCTACAAAAATAGGAAAAATATTACTTACAAACAAGCAAAAATAAGAAAATCCTAGCAAAATTTAGGGGCTTAGAAAAAACTAATACCTTGAAAGATTTCCACCTTTCATCTTCACAATCATCTGATATTGGTGTAGGATTGTAAAGTAGTACTTCATGCAACTTGAGAAAAGCCCTTAGACAAAGGTGAAATTTTCGGCACCAGGAAATGACACGTGTCATTCCTGGTGTTTGTTTTAATATTATGTTATTGATTAAACAAACACATTGTAAGGAAAACGGTAATTGATTCTGATCCATTTCCAACTCTACCAAAAACCCATACCAAATACCCCCTAAATAAGTACTCGTTATTAAAGTTACAGAGTAATGTTTTAAAGATACATGTTTATACAAATTTCAACAGCTAAGATCTTATTTTAGTTATTCACCTGTATAATTCTATAATGATACATAGTTTATTAAAGATAAATTATGATTAAACTTGATAAATCTTAAATTTCAAAAGAAAAAAATAGTACTCCCTTTGTCCCTTGTCTACATGTCTATTTTCCATTTTTCACAAGAGTTAAGGAACTTAAAGATTCTTTAAAACCCATGATTAGAAAGTACAAATGTACATGTGGGGTTAGAGAGAGAAAGAAAATGTAGTTGGTAATTATTGAAGAAATAAAGAGAAAGTGTTGGAAAACTCAAAAGTACAAAAAATAAAAGAAAAAGAGGATATATTGTCAAAAAATACATTCTTTAAATAGAAATAGACAAATAATTTTAAAACCCTCAAAAACAAAAGTAGGCATGACGAAGAAAGTACAAACAATAGGTGATGAAGAGAATCCGTCGTTGTTAGGTAAGTAATAAGGGGGGTGTGGTAATAATGAGGGGTGAAACTGTGAAAGGAAGGGCATGTAATTGTAACGGGGAGTAGTAACAGGCTTCAGCCACGTGGAGTGCACCATGCAATTAGAGAGAATAGCTTATTTTTCCGCATTGAATTTAAAGTATTCGGATGCCAACTAAAAATATGCCAAATAATCCTTCCCAAAGAAAGAAGGCCCCACTAAGCTACATAGCAAGCTAAGCTAATAAGCTTGGCACACTAGATTACTCCACATTTCATCCATCCTTCCCCGTTTATAAATACGGAGTACTCCGTAGTTAAATACTCTCTTCGTTTTTTTTTTAATTGACATAGTCCTTTTATCACGTTTATTAATGTTAAAATAACACAGTTGATGGTTCTAATCATCAATGAGTGAAAATTATAAATGGTGGATACTGCGAAGCTTTTACTGTGATCATCGACTACGATCGACTATCTTTGACTACGGTTACATGACTTAATTTTAATCATAATTACTCCATATATAATAATTAAGACTAGTAATGAAAGTAAAATTTATATATAGTCTTGAAAGTTAAAACATGTGAATTAAGAAAAACATGTGGAGAAAAGTAGGATATACTCCTACATACAATCTACTCCGTACTCCGTCAGTCCGTAGTATCTAGCAGGGTAATGAGTATCCAGCAGTAGCAGAGTGGAAGTAGTCTGAGGAGTCCGCCTCTATATAAAGTCCGGCCTGCCCTAACTTAGTACGGATAGAGATCTACGCATTATTATTATTAATTAATATTCGTAGGTCTACGAATATACTCTTGTACTTCCTTCTTCGTAGCCTTTTCTATTTTAAGGAAGAAAAAAAAAAGAAGACTACTTCCTTCCAGTAATAATTTACAGTATATAAATTCATTTGACATATAAATTAAATATGGATCATCGTGGAGGCTTCCATGGTTACCGCAAACAACAGCAGCTTCACCATCTCCCTAAAACCACCTCTTCTGCTGGTAACCTTTTCTTTCCTTTTTTTCTTCATTCTGTTATTAAATTATCTTCTATTCTTTGTTTCATAAATTTATTAATTGCTATTAACATTTGACACTATGAACTAACTTGCATGCACAATCTAGTTATTTACTACTGCTTCACAAATAATTTCTTTTATACATTATTATTTCAATATTTATTGCAACTATAAATTGATAAATACCAACATTTATATATTTATTTGCATTGCATGCATCACCCATTTCGCCTTTCCCTTTATTAACTAGGTATAGTAAACAATCTCGAATACTAAGTTTTTTATTTAAAAACAAAAAAGTAAATGAGCCAAAGTTCAATACCTTCTAGTCGACTTGATAATGTTCATACACAACTTGTTAATTTATTTGTTTTTTTTTTTTTTTTTTTGTTAAAAAAATTTATTTGTTTATATACATACTAGTTTGAATTTTGAAATAATATATATCAACATGTTAGAATTATTTGTGTTAGTATTATTACTTTTATTTTTTTGGTAAAATAAAAAGCTTTTGCAAAAGTAAAGACTTTCAAGTTTCAAAAATATTAAATCCTAGTATCCTACTAGCTGTAATTAACAATTTAACAGAATTTTGAAAATAACCCATTAGTGTCTTGCTTCTAGATTCACTTCAAGTTTAGTTTGAACACAGTACACTAGTATTGCAAATCGATCTACTGTAACCCTAACAATTTTTTTTACTAGACTCTTAATTGTCAAACAAGACATCAAAACCTATACTTGGCTGATTAGTGTTTAAATTATATTGCTTTACAAGTTGGCCTGGCATACTCTTGTTCTTTCGAGAAAAAAAAAAAAAAAAAGAAAAAAAAAAAATTAGTATACTCTTGTCAAACAAAAAAGAAATTTCTAATAAATTACCACTAATGTTTTGAACTTTTTTTAAGCTTATCTCAACTAATTCGTTTAAAATATTTTTACGAGTATTTAATTTGTGTATGATATGTTCTTGAATATGTCTAACAAATTAAAACTTATTATGTCTGGATTGTCTGGTTTTTGTGTGATTTTGTCCAAGATGAACCTTTTTTTTTTTTCCAAACTTATTTTAATTTATTTGAATTAAAAACTAAACCAAACAAGAAAAAAGCTCTTTTTACGAGAACAATCAAGTTTATAAAGATGACTTACAAAAATTGTAATTCAGAGGTAGTATCATCATTTCAGCTAAAAATTGGGGGTAGCTTTGTCATCATTTCATCTTCTTTTGGTAAATCAGCCTGATTAACTGAGTCTTCCTGTAGCTTTACACAAGGATTTGTTATGCTACGTACGTTCTTAAATCATATTGAAACGAAGGGAGTAAGAAATGCGTAAACCCTGAATACAAAGAAGTAAAGTGATGAGCGTACGTTTAGTTTAATTAGGTACTCAAATTAAAGACCAAATAAGCAAATAATAGTTGGTAGATCCTCCGTAAAAGTGGAGGTTGTCGCGGCAGCACCACGACAAGTGACAAGAGAAGAGGCAAGCTAAGGAAACATTTGAGATGAATCATGTGTTTTAAAATGACATATAATAGAATAGGGCCAATTATATTGCATGCATCATGTGCAATAATAAGTTATAACATTAATTATTTACATCAAAAGAGGTTGAAGAACGAATAGAGCCAATGGAGATGATGAAATGTTATTTTGATCATTCATCCCAAGTGTCTTTCATGCACTGTTTTCTTTCTCTTCCATTTTTTACTCACACGTGTCCATCATGCAAATTTAACCTCACTCAACTCTCCAAATTAAAGCAATTTAAGCGCTCTTTCTCAATTAGGGAATAGAAAAATGCGTTGTTTTTCAAATTGCCACGTGGAGGCAGGGAGTGCGACGCCTAGCTATCAATGGAAAAGCCATTATTTTTTGTGATCCAACTCAAAAATAGCAAGAAACTTTTGCATAAAATAATTGATGTGTCTATCACATTGTCTTTCCTTTGTTACTCGTACAACAATTCAACTAGAAAAAAAGCCAGATTGAGGTAGCTTAGTTTTTTAGTATTTGGAAATAAGGCGTAGACACAGAATGCAAGTGAGAAAGGATTTTGGCAAAGCTTCTTGCATTGGATTTGTCGGTTTTGGCCCCTGGCATGTGATGCTGATGGAATGGTTGATAATGGTCAATGAATTGAATGCGTTAGGCATCAATATTAACTTTTCTGTCTCTAAAAGTTGTTATGGTTCCATTTTTTGTGAGGCAATTACCGAAGACCGACTTTAGAATGATAGGTTCGTTGTGTATGTCGTGGTGATCTCATCTTGTTGATTCGCTTGAAATGCTTATTGTACAGGTAGGATACCTAAATCTAAAGTATAACAGTGCTTATTGTACAGGTAGGATACCTAAATCTAAAGATAAAAGTGGATGATGCATCATTCCCAAAACTACCTGGGTAATTACCGTTGACCTAAGCTTTAATTACACTGCCCGTAGTTCCAGAATAGTAGGTTAGGTTTATCTGTTATCAGATACTCAGCGCTACATTCCCATAGGCCGTACTCTCTATCAAGTATCTCAGCCCTACATTCCCATAACCTTAGATCGTAGCCTCTTTTTAGTTTTTACCCATTAATTCAAAACTTAAAGATTAAAAAGTGACGGAGGGAGTAGTAGTATTTAGTCTCTACTCACTCTTTCAATCTCCAAATTTTGTAAATTCCAATTTTGTGTTTATATCTCATATTGTTCCTAGCTATAAAGTATTTCTAGCTTATTGTACGCATGCATGTTATAATAACATTCATTAGAGAATAGAGATTAGCTAGAGACATACCTTTTTCTCTTATTATGTGATTATAAGAAGCTAATAACCGGAAGAAAAAAAAAAAAAACAGAATTGAGATCGATGGATTGATGTGTACATTTTTTATTTTTTGCCACAGAAATGAAACTATCCTCGGAGGCTCCACCAGGGGAGATGAATCACATACGCGCAACAATCAACGGAAAAGTGTTCTCCCATGATGACATGAGTCATCATCACCTTAATAACAACAACGGTAACAATAACTTCAATGGAAGTAGTAACCACTCTGTGTCTTCAACTGATCAAGATAACAACGAATGCACAGTGCGAGAACAAGATCGCTTTATGCCCATTGCTAATGTCATACGCATCATGCGCAAGATTCTTCCACCACATGCCAAAATTTCTGATGATGCTAAGGAAACAATCCAGGTAATTTCTTTTCTTTCACAATTTTCTACATATATATAATAATTAACAATGCATGCGCGCATGTCTTCAAGTAAGGTTTCATCACATTAAACTTGTGTGCAGGAGTGTGTGTCCGAGTACATTAGCTTTATAACAGGAGAAGCAAATGAGAGGTGCCAAAGGGAGCAGCGTAAAACAATAACAGCAGAAGATGTACTATGGGCCATGAGCAAGCTTGGATTCGACGACTACATTGAGCCACTCACCCTTTACCTGCATCGTTACAGGGAGCTGGAGGGGGAACGTGGCTCTATCCGCACTTGTGAGCCGCTCCTCAAGCTTAGTAGAGTAGCCATGGATCAGTACGCCGCATTTGGGCCAGTATTTCACATTGGACCTCCACCTTCACACCATCATCATGGCTATTTTGGGGGGTCTTCTTCCATGAATGGATACTTAAAAGATGCTTCGGTAGCAACTGCTTCTGACGCTGTTGGTGCTCCCGCTGTTGCTGCTGCTGGTGGCCCTGCTAATTCTATTACCAGTTTTGAGCCTTATAGTCACCACCACAAATAATAATCTGTTAACTCCATATGTTGTAGTCACTTAGCTTGCAATGCTAACAGTTAACGATGTGACTTTCTTAATTACACTTGTTTAATTTCCCTTTAACTTGTTATTTTATCTCCCTCTCATTTGCTAAAACCAACTTCGTACTAGTTAGATGTTAGTACAAAGTATATAATAACAGCAATTATAAAAATCCAAAATCTTCTAACCCATTATCTCAATTTGTTTCAAGTTACATAAATAAATTTACTTGTTATGTATTGCATATAGTTTGTTTTTGTTTAGTTCATTTGAATTACGTGACGAAAAGTCCAATACAAATTACAAAGCATATGTTGATAAGGATAGCAGTTCCAACAAATAGCGCAACAAACCACCATTAAATCTCACTTCTTCCTTTCGTATAAATTCAGTTGATCTCCCTTCCGTCGCTCCCTCCTCCAGGCATTTTGACAAACCACATCCCTTCAAACACCCATTAAATCTCACTTCTTCCTTTGTAGCGCAACAAACCACCCCCCCCCCCTCCTCTTCTCTTCCACCCCACCCCAAAATCTAAGCATGCATCCCCCTATCAAGCACAAACCTAGAATGAGAGCGTTAAACTCTTAAAATAGGATTCTCAATAAATTGTCTAAATACAATGTACACATCCTCTACAAGAGCAAGTGAAAATATATGCACTGGAACATAATAGCTTAATAAGATATCAATTATAAAATATGGTCAAGAACAAATATCTGAATATTTGAGACAAAAGAACTATAATTACGACACACATGAAAACACATGAAGCAAAATACCAAAAAACATCTAACTGCACGCTGAGCAGTAGCAATGGCATTGAGGGAGTTCTATCAATGGTAGAACAGCCCCACCCCATTTGCCATGGGATGTAGTCCACTCATCAACACACAAATCTCCCCACTCGCATAACATCATTTATGCCCCAGCTAACATGCCATCACATTCACAGGAATGCATCTTTCTCCAGCAATTTGAGCACCTCATGTTGATTGTTCAATTTGGCAACATCTATAGGGGTCTTCCCATCAAGATTCTGGAGAGTACTGCACAAAGTAATTGTCGTCTTATAAGCTGCACAAACAGATAGCCTCAAGATAGAATAATCAGACAGAAGACAAGTTTGTGCTTACACAGCAGCGCCATTCTCCAGGAGAAGTGCTACACACTCTTTTCTCCCGTAACCAGCTGCATAGTGAAGGGCAGTATTTTTGTTCTTATCCAACGCGTCCACTTTAGCTCCTGCCTCAAGAAGAACTTGTGCACACTTAACCTGAAACAGAAGAAACCTGTCAGATCAATGCCAAGGCAAGCCAGCTGCCTTTAAATTGCACAACAGAAAGAAGCCACCGAAGTGTTTCAAGTCTTCCAACTTAGTACAGAGATAGAAGCCGCAAACTAGAAGCAGTCACTTCACCTTATTAACATTTAAAACCACAAATTGATTTAAGACACATTTGCTTGCAGAATTACCATACCTCACCATATCCACAAGCAAAATGCAATGCTGTCCTGCCTTCAGAATCCTCTTCATCTTTGTCAGCGCCAGCAGCTAAAGCTTTCTTCAACCCCTGAAAACATATGGTATAAAATTCCAGCAATCAGTCTTCTAAGGCCTCTCTATGCTAACAACTACATGCCATGGTTCATCCTATAAAGCTACAGGTTTATCTCTTCTACTTCATAAGCTTAGAGCCTTGGATGTAATCAAAGCATATTTATGCTTTATATATTTCAATAACACACCCAATCTTAATAGAATTATAAAATTTAAAGGTTAATTTCCTCCGATAAAGAACCTACAATAAGATTCATCTTTTATGCAAGAGAGGTGGTGGCAATGTTACTTGGACTCTTCTCTGTACCTAAAGTACCTACGTCAACACTGTATTTGGACCTTAAAAAACAAAATCCAAGTCAACACTGTGTTTGGAGTTTTGGACCATAAAAAAACAAAATCCAAGTCAACACTCCGACAGATATACCCATGTCCAATACAAGTGCGTAATAACATAGAATGGTGGTTATTTTTACCTCCACATCGCCAATACTAGCAGTTTGATGAACAACAGACTCATCTTCTTCATTACCACCTTCCTCTGACTCGTCAGGCACAGCATGCTCAGAGGATGTAGCTGCTTCTCCTGTGACTGCTAGACCCATAGCTTCGCCCAATTTTTGAAGAACGTCTTTATCATTCCAATACCTGTAATGACCAAAGTATATCAATAAAATAAATAAACCAAAGATGGCCAGCATGAAGATAGCAAATGTAGGTGGTTGAAGAGCTATAATGATGAAACAAATTTTTAAACCCAACCTCATCATGGCAGCAGGTCCACCAGTCTCTATCTCTTCCAAAATGGGTTTCAGAGAAGGATCTTCTTTAATACGTGCCATTCGTTCTTCTAGCTGGTCTTTCTGGGCTGGATTGGACAAATTCTCGAGCATGCCAGACATTGATGGATCCTAATCGATTGTCACAACCAGCATGATTTCAGGATTTTGATACGTTGAAAATAACTACTTCCAATAGACAAAGAAAACAAACCTGCATCAATGCGCTACCAAGACGTTCAGCCATGGCCATAAACTGAGGATTCTCCATCACCTGCTGCATAGTGGAATAATACTGCTGGGGGTCGAATTGTGGTTCCTCAACTGCAGGACCACCCTGAAAGGTTTGCTGCAATTGCTCAGCCATCTGATTGAAAGCAGGATCTTTAGCTATCTGCTCAGCCAGCTCCTTGATGCTTGGATCCTGCGTTCGTGAGATAATGTACTAAGATCAGTAATTTGATTTGAAAACTACCTCTTTTATAATCAGGGGAGGGTAATGGCCCATACATCAATACCAATAGCTACAATTGTTGAGGTCAAATCAATAATTTGGTTTACAAAACAGAGTGCATCACATTCAATGAGTTTTAGTTATTCATTGAAACATGACAAAGGATTATGAAAAAGATAGGATGATGTACATTGAGCAAGCCTGACATAGCTGAAAAATCAAAAGGATTTGGGGGCATTCCAGGTCCTGGAGCAGGAGAAGATGTTCTCTGTCCTGATTGAGACTGCTCAGAAGATGCTTCTGGGTTGGACTTCTGGGGTTCTTGAGCACCTGTATGCCAGAGAAGAATCACATATAAGCATAATGCCATATTATTATCAGTGCTATATAGCTAAAAGAGCATCGAAGTAAACAATATTGCATATCAAGCATGTGAAGCAGTCATATTTTAGCCAAAAATGGTTTTAGAATTCCGTACACATCCTTCCCCACTTGTTGATGTTCATAATCTTGCTCTTTTTCGTATCATTCAGAGACATATAACAAACACAATTCCTAATCTCCATAATTGAGTAATTCTTACAAGTATCAGCCACCCTAGGACATAAGGAAGCTTGAAAAGATAATTTTGTCCAGACAGATACATGGTAAAGTGGATCTGGTTAAGAAATGTAAACTTTGTTCTAGCCAACTGCACATCATAACTAAGTGAAGATTTCCTTTTCTTGAAGACTCTCTATGCCTAGATCATGATTGATAAATATTCCCCTTAAGCAATGGCTGTACAAAGATGACATCTTTAAATCTCATGCAGTCACACAGTGCCTCCTTTGGTTTGCTTGTCTTATCATGTATACTATAACTTCCTAAAAACCATTTCCACAATTCAGCGATTAACCCTCACTTAAACAAAACAATACATTCAGTGAAATACAAAAGGCATTTAAGGTGTATTTGGATAAAGAAAGGGGAAGGAAAAGAAGAGGAGGGAAGAATAATGAGTTTTCCACTTTTCCTTCCAAATCTCTCCATTATTGGAAAGATCAACTTCTTACAATTTAATCCCTCTCTTTCTCTCCCATCTAATTCCCTTCCTTCCTCATTTGCTATCCAAATGAAAGATACTCCATCCCTCCATATCCCTTCCCTTCCTTTACCTTCATTTCCTTCAATCCAAACACAGTGATTATAGTTTAGAAATTAAAGAAATATCCTTTGGCATGCAAATAAGTTAGCCCTCGAACAAGGAAAAAAATTATATTGATGACTTCTTTGACTTGTAAAGTTAAACTTGTCACAAGACACAAACTCCTTAATTTGATCAAGTTCTCCGGTCTCCAGCAACCAACTACACTTATTGAGTATTGACTTAGCAACATATCCCAAACCCACTAAAGATGTGAATACCAGGGAGCCATGAGAAAGCCATGTTGGGTAGTGAATACTTTTTTACATGCAGACTCCAAACAAGCTTCACTGACAACCCAACAGTTGCAGAGTGCACAACTGCACATGAAGTGAGCAATCGAACATCGATCCAAAACAAACAAAAAGAAAGGATAATAGAGTCGAATAACCACGCTCACCTGCGGACACACCATTCCCTGAGTTCGAAGCCATAGATCAACACCTGAAAGCAAAGCAAGCAGAACATTAAAACAGTAACACGGTGAATAACAGGCCCGTAACAGAGACAGGCCATGCCCTGGGATAAAAAGGTCCATTTTCATAGTTCCATCCTACAATTAAAGAATTACAAACAACAGCCTGCAACACATTTGCAATCAAATTTGACTCAATTATCAAATAAAGTCCCAAAAATCACACAAAATTCTTCTCGATTAAGACAATCAACGCAAAATTCCAGCAACAAATCGATCGTTGTAATTCAAAACAAAACTTCAGAAATTACAACCAAAAGTTCAATAACCCACCTTAGAAGAACCCTAATCGACTATACTAACAATCAAATCAACGATAAACCCTAGATTGAAAAATTGACATTCGATAATTTAGAAAATGAAAAAGAAAACATCTTACCTCGGAAACTGCTTCAATGGAGGAGAGAGAGCAGAGAACAGAGAAGGCGGTTCAATGGAGAATTGAGAGTAAGCGCTTTAATGGAGGAGAGAGAGCAAAGGCCAAAGGGGGGATAAAAGTGATAAGCTCCAAAGGAGATCTAAACTGATAACGTATGAGCAAGTTTAAGCATTTACGGAGTAATGTCAACCGTCAGATCTCTGTATTATCAACGGTCTTAATTTATTTCATATACATTTTGTACTTCCTCACAAATTTTTATCAATGTGATTATATGTGAATACACGTATTAAACAAAATTAAACTGTGATTAATGTAATGTTTGTATCCTCCTTCAAAATATAAATAAAAAAAATGTGTATACTCTATTTTGGGTGTCCTAAAAATTGTACCATATATTTTTTTAAAGGGTTATCCAGAGTATTTGATTTTTAATCACTTTATTTATTTATTTATAGGGAGGACTTTGTATTTTCCATATTACCTTCGTTTCCAGTTTCTTACAACAAACTAGCTTGCACGAGCCTCAAGAGAAAATTTGACAAATGTAGATTAACAAAAGTAAGGAAAGGTTCTTTAAAAAAAATGTAAGGGAAGGTGATTATGGGTAAAAAAAATTAAGCCACCCACACAACATCCAGAACCTCTGCCCCCACCAGA